TTATGTACCATCTACTGAGACTAAGAACCTCGCATAATAGGTGCCAATAGTGGCAAATAGTAGCGAAAATCATAAGCTGCCGAAACAGTTCATAAATTTTGTCCAAAAGACATTTAATGTTTACAATTTCTCAAATTACCTGTTTCGATAGACACCAAGACGTTTACTTTCACAATCACAGCGAACTCATTATCCTCCGGCACTGAGGGTTTAACAGTTATTTGTACTAAAAACCGACAATTAACAACGTCGTCGAGGAAATCGGAATAAAGCATTAAATATTAAAAAAATAGATCCTCAACTTGAACGCCGAATTCGAAACCTTATTATCGTCGATCGACGCGCGCGCGCTTTTTCTATGAGATATTTTTATATTTTTTTTTTCTAAATGGGCACGGGCGTTTGCCGCGGAGCCTTGACCGCTACGAGACTGCGGCCACACTGAACAAACTATCGTTGCAAGCCGAGCAAAGTCCTCTTGGCACTTCATGTAAATTACTTTCCAACAGTTACTTTTAGCTCCGCTGCGCTCATTCCGGTCATCTTTTGTGCTTTTTTGAAACGAAGCTTCGGTTTGCAATGCAAGAGCTTTATGATAACTTATCTTAACACTAACATGCTTTTAATAACTTGTGGCATTTGCTGAAGAAAGTTGTTGAAATGCTCGGAATGCTTGAAATGCTAAAACTTAAAATGTTTATGACCTACATGAAAGTAAAATAAGTATATATCGATTACGTCTATTTGAAGATTGTTGTATTAAAATTGTTAGTTTTGACGCATGAACAGGAATTATTGCAATCTCCGGTTCGAGCGAATATAACTTAAAAACCAGTTAGATTTCCTTTTTACAACATGTAGGAGACGACTGCCTACTGATATACAAAACTTTAATTCTGGAGGCGGCAATTGGTTATTTATATTTTAATTTATGTACTATAACTTTAGATGGACTGTTTAAATTAAGTTATGATCTTTCTGAAACATAAATATTTCAAAATAAATATTTATATGTAATAATAATTAATACATTAATACATATAAATAAAATTGAAGTGTCTGTTTGTAATATTAAAATAACCGCTTTTTACTAAATGCATACGGATATATACACGGTACATTTACAAATATTACATTTCTACAATTTTTGTCTGTCTGTCTGTCTGTTTGTTCCGGCTAATCTCTGAAAGGGTTGGATCGATTTTGTCGGGACTTTCACTGGCTGATAGCTGATGTAATAAGGAGTAATTTAGGCTACTTTTAGTGTAGAAATTTAATTTATTTTAAATTCCATGGGGACAAAGTCGCGGGCACAGATAGTATAACTAAATGTATCGAATAAGTATACGTATAAACATATTATTACACATATTTAGTTAGGTAAAAATAAAAATATGACATACTGATGGTGATATACTTAAATAAAAGTCCATTTTAAGTAAAGTAACATCCCATACGTATCCCACTGATGGGCAAAGGCCTCCTCTATACAGACAGTATCAGGGCATTATCCACCACGCGGATTGGCAGATTACACATATCTTCGAAATATGTTTTTTGTTTTTGTTTCGAAGTATATGCAGGTTTCCCCACGATGTTTTCCTTCACTGTAGACCACGTGATAGGTCAGTACTTAAAATTAACAATTTCATTGGTGCTGGCAGCAGGGATCGAACTCGGGTCGCTGGAGTATATTGATTTAAAGGCTAGCGCACGGAGACTGATCTGTCACGGCTTACCATTTTAAGCATAAAGGCCCATTTACACGGTGCAAGTTTCTTGCCTGTTAAATACAATTAAATTGAAGCAATAAATGAGTTGCATTGTCTAGACTTGCTTCAAGTTTTGTTTCAAAACTTTCCTTGGTGTAAACAGCACACACAATAATTTCTTAAGCAATTCTTGTATTCAATTACATTCTCTCTTCCTTTGCAAAAATTAGTGCAATGAGTGAGGGTATTTAATCGTTGCTGTTCTTTTGAGGATAGAAATATTGAGAAAAAGTCGTAAAAAAAGTTGGATAAAAATATGAATAATAATATATGGATCATAATAAATAAATCTCAATGAAATATATTTAATCGCCATAAACTAACATGAACACTTATTATTGAGCCATTTTTTTTAAAAAACAGCCCTTTGTAAAACGTTCAACACTTGCATGAAAAATTTGTCAACGCAAATACGTGCAATACTTGAAGCAACACGCCAATAAATTGTCCACGCACATACAAGCATGTGTTTAGACAAGTCAAAACTTGAAAGCAATAATCGCCTAAACATAATTGCATTGGTGTAAACAAAAGACATTTGCAATTATTTCTTGTCAAGACTTGCATTCAATAATCGCATTCAATTTTTTTTACTATATCTGCGTGTAAACTGTTGTTTACAATTCTTGATGGTCAATTATTGCTCTTGTACATACAAGAGCGATAATTGAATGCAATAAATTGCGCGCAATAATTGTTAAGACCATTTGTTGTTTAGACCATGCAACTCATTTATTGCTTCAATTTAATTGTATACAACAGGCAAGAAACTGGCACCGTGTAAATGGGCCTTAATTGTATTGGTGTAAACAAAAGACATTTGCAATTATTTCTTGTCAAGACTTGCATTCAATAATCGCATTCAATTTTTTTTCTATATCTGCGTGTAAACTGTTGCTTACAATTCTTGATGGTCAATTATTGCGTGCAACTTATTGCATTCAATTATTGCTCTTGTATGTACAAGAAAATGGCATCGTGTAAATGGGCCTTAAGATTAACATTTATTTTTAGTGATAGGCGCGTTACCCAGAAGACGCTGGGTCGAATGCCGCAGCGCCGAAGGTTTTTGTTAATGTAGGATGCGTTGAATGTGGTATTCCACTAAATTATCGGCATTATACCTGGCCTAAGCTGCGAATTGGTCAGACCACACCGCAATGTATCCACGGACCAAGGTACCCACCTAGGATAGCAGTAAACGTCCAAGCCACAGTAAATATAAACTACTTCGACGGCACTAAGTCTAAAATAAAAATCCTAATACGTGTGTAGACACGTATTTTTGCATTATATTGTTACGATTATCGGATTGACGTATCGTCGAATATCAAGGCGCCAGCAGTTTTAAATGACGTACGTAAGTTGGTTTTAAAATGTTTGTGCAGAGTAAAAGAAGTTCTTATTCCGGAACAGAATTTAAAGACGATCGAAATTTGGGCCTAAAAAGGGGCTTAGGGAAATAAATTTACACGAATAGAAGTTCATTACTCTATTTCAAAAAAGTTTATGATGTAATATATGTAATAAAATAATCCATATTTATATATATATATAAACATGGATTATATATATATATTAGAGATTTCCACCGATAATTGACTAATCGCGATATCTCTGGAACCATAAGGTTTAGAGACTTTAATAAATGAATGAATATTCTTTATTGCACACACCATGGTAAAAGGATACATTAAAACTAATTTTATAAGATGCATACATACGTGACAAATAGTGACTCTTGACAAGGTTTTTAAGAGCGGAAAGTGTCTGAGCACGTCTCACCTCCGGAGGTAGAGCATTCCATAATTGCGCACCTTGTACCATAAAGGACTTAGCCATAAATTTTGTTTTGTGAGCAGATGTTTTTAATTTCAAATTTTCTGATGATCTCAGAAGATGCGTATGGGATTCATGTAAAAACTCGAAACGTTTCTATAAATAAAAGGGATACGAAGGATTAAACAGAACGTTGTAAAGAAGGGACAGTACATGAGCATTCCGGCGAAGTCGAATGGGTAACCACTTGAGCTTAGAACGGATATGTAAGACTTGATCATATTCACGTAAGCCAAATATGAATCTTATACAGAAATTTTGCAAATGCAATTTTGGTGACGCAGAGGCAAATACTTTGCAGCTAACCTCTTGTAGCTGTGGTCCCCAGGATAAGTTTTTATCAACTTGAAATTTAGTAGGAATATTCCTTTCGTTGAGTAGAGGTCAGCTAAGAACGGATTTGACGAAATTCCACAAAACAACGTTTGTCGGATCAGCTAGTATTATATATTATGTTATAATAGTGTTATGATTACAGGGTTGATGCCTTGATCGTCAACACAAGGAGCAAAGATTACTTTTATATATCTGAAAGTCTTGTCATTTTAGAACGACTTACTTAATTTAATTTTAAAGTACCTGGAGGATCGAGCTTTGCTCGGTTTGTTTTTTTTTTATTTGGTAAATCGTGTATTTTGGAAATTACATTTAAATACAAATTATTGAGTAATGAAACATGGATAATATTTTTCGATCTTACCGACGTAATAATAAGAAAATATGAACTGGTGTTTTTCACAAAAAAAAGTACTTTAAAAAAAGGGAAAAAAGAAATGGACAATGATCTGGAATCGAAAAAAGTAAGTATGTAAATAGTAAGTACTAAATTTCATGAAAATCGTTGGAGCCGTTTCCGAGATTCCGATTATATATATACAAGAATTGCTCGTTTAATACGATAAAAGATTTATAGTTTAGAGTAAAGAAGGTTCTTATTCCGGAACTTTCTATAATAGTGACTGTCGAAATTCTGGCCTTGATTATGGAAAATTATATTAAAAGACGAACAAAACTAAAATCTTTTGTAGAACATTCGACCGATCGACCCACAGAACGAAATGAAATTCGGCCTATAAAAAGGGCCCGGAGCACGCTTGACGGCACTTCAGTGGCGGAAATCGAAGAGGAAGGAAGAGGAAGAGAAAAACAAAATAGAAAGTGGTGGGTTGGTGCGACAGCCTGAGAACCGTCGCATCTGTAAAGGCGTACTGAGAAGGTTGTCGCACCTGTACTTGTGTATCTGGGGGATTGGTGCGTGACTGGTGCGCGTTGAAAGAGTGGTCGCATCTGTAGTAGTAAAGTAAGAATTTAAGAGGTACGTATCAAGAGTACCACGCACGTTTTCAGTGTAAATAAAGTGAAGATAGCAATTACTTAGGCCGGCTAGGTATGACGGTCTATACGAACACGATCATGACTGCCTGGGAGAGGTTTGTTAAGGACCTAAGGAGATACAATCGTAGACGAAGCGAAGGCACTTGGAGACGCGACTGTCTTTAACAGACAAGAGCATCAACAGTAAACGTCGGTAGATGTTCGGTATATAAGATAAATGTTTAAAGTTTTACTATTTTATAAGTTACGAAAGTTAAGAGAGCGCGCAGTAGGTACTTAAACAATTATTATAATAATTAGATTACTCTTAACTTAAGTACAGTTACATAGGTATCTTTACATAACATAAACATGAGTTTAATAGCTGGCTTTTAGTTAAGGTAAAAAAAACATATCAGAAGAAAAGATATCCAGCCTTGCCGCAGCTTGCAGTTAATTCCACATAAGTATGAAGACCTTAACGATCTTCATTCGTAGGGAGAACAACGCATCGGAATATCAACACTCCTCTCCCCTCGCGGATCATTCTTGAATATTCGAGGACGAATCTCGAGAAGTTCCAAGCAGATCAGAGAATTTTGTAACACGTTTCGTGTCCATTGACTAGACCAGCCAAACATCAATCGATGACCTGGACCGACGCTAAAGAAATTTAAAGTGTTGAGTTCGGAAAGGAAGGTTATTGGCATCAGTTTCGTCATGCAACTGGCCACCAATGATGTAAGCCTACCGCCGAATAGCATCGTGTCCTGAAAATCGCAACATCACAACCTTCACAAAAAATCGTCGATAAGACACTTTCATGTCCGTTGCTTAAAGCTTTCGGATTCTATCCCACATCCCCTGAAACCATGCATTTGAGCCTATAATTAATAATATAGACCAGAGTTCCCCAAACTTTTTTGTGTCGTAGACCCCTTGCCATGTTTTTCCGTGTTGGGTAGACTTATCTGATATTGATTTCCTGTAAATTTCTAACTGTAGTGAAGTTTAGTGTTAAAAACTTAAAGTAAAAACACATGTTAATTTATACATTTATTAATTGAATTTAAATTGAAACTACTCAAAATAAAATTTTGTATCTTTTATTTAATGTTGTAAAATAAATATTTTTTAAAATATTTTCTTAGCATTTTCCTTTTCAAGATTCAGGAAACGAATAAACGTATTTATCCCACATTCGGATTTATAGAGTGACGAATTGAACAAGTCAGTGCAAGGTAGCGAAGCTCTGAGACTGCGACTCTCAGGTTTTTACAAGTTTAAAATGTATTGCGACCACAAAGCGAATACCAACATCCTACAACTTACACAATTTTATAAACATATATAATAAATTTTTTACTTCATAGGTACTTTTATAAATAATGTATATGTTTTGATATTATAAGATAGTATGATGTAAGTAAATAGGTACTATCAGTGTATGTGTTGAGATCCACTATCGTGGACCCCCATTTTCATTTCATGGACCCCCCAAATTTTTTTTCGCTGACGTAGACCCCTTGCAGGTTGTCATAGACCCCTAGGGGTCGATATAGACCACTTTGGGAATCACTGATATAGACGATACATTAGCAGGCGCGATAAATAACTTTGGGGACGGAAGAATTACAAAACTATCGCTATGTCGATAGTATAGATTTGAAATTAATTTTGCCACAAATATACAATACCATTTAACATTTTATTAGAATCAATCTATTGAAAAGTAACAAGACTGGTTCACATAATATATACATACAGATGGCTGTTTACAAAAATGGATTAAAAAGTGAAATTGATACAATCGATTTATTAAAAATCGATTGTTATTATTGATAAAACCGTTTTTCAAAATCGATAATAAGAAAAAAAATCGAATATTTTTTTCACATCCCTACACGTCACATAACACATTTCACATTTTCACAAGTCACAACAATTCAACTGTTGTTCACTCGCAAGTCACAGTTCAATTTCACAACATTAAACACAAAATAATTCCACAGGTAAAATTGAATTAAACATATTTCAAAAAAACTTTTTTATTTTCCTTTTTATAAAGTATATAAAAATACACAAATAAAACGCAAGTGATCTCACGTTGTTTGATTCCTTTTAGCTAATTAAATCATGGTTGTTGATTGTGTATATTAGGTTACAATAACATGTGTTTATCTTATTTTTTGATTATATATTATAATTAAAATCCCAATACTTATTATCACTTCAAAGTAGTTACTAAAATAGCTGTAATTCTTATAACAATGTTGACGTTACGAATTTTTTTAAAAGTACTGTTTCAGAATGAAAACCTCTGTTAAAAATAACATAATGAAACGGAAACACAAGAGTAAAATCGGTGGAGAGGCTGTTGCCAGTGTTAATGTCTCTAAAGAAGGATGTAAAGGTGAAATTAAAGATGAAAAGTCTGAACAGAATACACTTAACCCAATTACTGAATTAGTTATTAAAAAGAGCAAATCTTCAGAAGATACAAACAAGTATCCAATATTAGATGACAAAAATTTTATACTAAAAATTCATAGTGTGCCTTTGACAAATAATCAAAAGGGTATAAGAATTTTTTCTTGTTAATGAATTAACAGTTTTTGTGTCATTTGATTTTCAAATTATGTAATTTTATGTAATTTTATGTATTTTAGGAAGAATTCGCCAAGTCCTTAAAGATAGTCTGAGGGGTACATCCGATTTTCTACTGCCAGACATCATTCATAATAAAATTCAAACTATACTTAAAAGTTCAGAAAATTTCACTGATTCTGATTTGAGAAAAATGAGAATATTGTTTAACATGTTAAAAACTGCTTTGCAAAATAAAGATCTGGAAATAAAACCGAGGAAAGAAAATGGTAGCAAAGAATTACAGAAAAAGGTAAAAGTGAAAGAAGGGTTAAATGTGAAAAAAGAAGTAAATATTCACTTGGAAAGTAACCAGAAGGAGAAAAAAGATGTACCTAAAAAAAAGGGTCCAAAAAGATATGTAGTATTTGTTGGCAACTTACCTATGGATATTGATAAAGAAAAGGTGGTTTTTAGTATTTTTATAAATAAGTATCATTAGTTGATGATTTAAAATTAATTTATTCTATGTATATACTTTTTTTCAAATTATTAGTTCTTTTTTAAATAATAAAATGAGTGTTTAAATAAAATATGTTTAATCTATAATTCGTCATTACAAAGTTTTAACTACTTTTAAATTCCTGCAAACAACATGGAAAATGTGGTTAAAATTTGTGTTTTAAAATTTTTTACTAATCTTTATTACAGATAATGCAACACTTCGCAGATTTTAAAAATTTTATAAAAGATGTACGCCTTCCGAAACAAAAAAAGGGAAAAAGTGCTATAGCTTATGTTGAACTAGAAAATGAAACTATATATGAGGTAGGCAAAAACCAACAAGACTGTTTTATATTGGTAACATTTATTACCGTAGTCATCATCATCATTTCAGCCTGTTTGAGTCCACTGCTGAACATAGGCCTCCCCCACAGACTGCCATGAAGTATGATCCTGAGCCACCTACATTCAACGACTTCCCGCACATTTGCACAGGTCGTCACTCCATCTAGTGGGGGGTCGTCCTACACTGCGATGGCTAGTACGAGGCTGCCACTCGAGAACCTTTCTTCCCCAACAGTTATCTTAGTTCTACTGCGGATGTCTTAGTAATCATTTCAAATTATTAGAAGGTAAAGATGGAGGATAATGAATATTCAGCCAATTATCATTTTTTTTCAAATTGCAGTTAGCACTTTCAAAACACCATTCCATGCTTGGCAACAGAAGGATAAATGTTCTTTATACTGCACAGAAGAACGGAAAAATAACTACAACTGAGGCAAAGGTACAGTTTTTTATATATAGATTACACTTGAGTTAACAATGAATTACATTAATTACTAATACACACATGCTCTCATGTATTTTGAATTTATCAGTAAAGATAGGTACAAATATGAGAAAATCATTTTGGTTTCTAATAAAATGTTTAATAAAAAAAAATTCACGGTGGTAGGGCCATGTAGCAGTCTCGGCTGTTGCACAAGCGGGCAGGCTCGTCCGGGTAAGTACCACAGCCTCACAGAAGACCGGCGTAAAGTGGAACTATAATACTTTGCATTTTGTCTGGTGAGTGAGGTGGCCGGAGCCCAATTTTCAAAAGGTTGTCAATGCATCTGCAACCCTCGAGTGTATCAGATGTCCATGGACGGCGGTATTCACTTAACATCAAGTGAACTGTCTGCTCGCTTGGCAACTTTTCACATAAAAAAAAATAATAAAATCTAAGAAGCACAATACTTCCATAAAGTATACCACTGTCTAAGATCTGAAACTGGGTTATCATTAGTACTTTACAATTTTCTAAAGAAATCATTTTTGCTCCTACAGAGTAAAACAGCAAAACTATTGGCACTGCAGAAATCTGGAAAACTCATAGGGAGTGTACCTATGAATAAGAAACGCAGCCAAAGGAGGCTGAAGATGAAACAAGCACAAGCAAAATTGGCTGCAGAGTCTGCATGATAAAAGACCAATGAAAATATTCTATTATAAACTTTGTAGATAATACATGAAATTGATCCAGAACCTATTTCTCTTTAATTTTTGTAAATAATTTGGCAAAAACTTTCGGCTCTGCGGGATTCAAGCCTGCGTCTTCTGGTTGACACCCAGATCCTTTAACACTCCTCAACTAAGGTAAGCGGCCGTTGACCTCAAGGCGCTAAAACCCGACATCCATCTTATTTTTATGATTTTTAGCAATGCTTGGCGCCATCCAGTGTACATTATAGCATAAACATACATGTTATATAACATGATATTTCACTTTCATTTTTTTTTTAGTGCCAGCCCCTGCACTTAAGGTGAAACTCAAAATGTGAATTTTTATAAATAAATAACAATTAAATAAGAAATAGACAAAACATTCGGTCCGAACCTGCGTCCGAAATTTTTTTCCTACAACCGCTTAGTTTATTTAGTTAGGCATCACAATGCTTACACCCGGTTTTTTAAACACATTCTGATCATTTCAGAGAGTTTAACCATCCTTTTGGCAATTCAAATGACAATTGAAAAGCCATTTTACAGCTGATTAGTTAATTTCTATGATGATCAGTGTTTCAGAAACCGGGCATTAGTCCTACATTTCAATTTATACAAACCAAGCAAACATAATACTTTTAAGTCAGATTGATTATCACCTGCTCAAATTTCTACTACCACTGTTGGTTCTAGGGAGAGGTCTAATTCATATGCAAAACCTATGAAGCAATATTTGTTATTTTATACGTAATCCTTGTATTGCATATAATTATATTCACATATGTACAGAGAACACATCAAAGCAACCTCGCACAAGGATAAAGAAAACAAAATGGAAGTGCTTCAAAAATTATTTATTTATTCATATATATAATTTATATATCCATTTTATAATTAAAATTAACCAATGCACACAACATAAAACTTTGTAATCACGTCTCATACACGCCCACGGACGAATCGCACAAGCCCCACCAAAATGTGCTTAATTCACAATATTGATTTTATGTACTGGCAGTAGAGTTGAGGGTACATAACACATTTCGGAAAGGGCACATTTTAAGTATACGAAGATTACATAACTAGATACACAATAATAATTTATTTAAAAAGTCCTGCATACGTAATGATCGTAAACGAATCATGTTTCTATAACTGAGTACATAAAGTTAAAAATTAAAAGCTTTGATTAAGTATTCGTAAAATTATTAATACTTTCGTAAAATACTCGTTATAAAACGGATCAACACAGCATTGTGCAAAGAGGAATGACAATAGACAATATCTTTCAATTGTTAAAATTAAATCTGTATTTTGCTAATAAATGTTAAGTGAATAATGTTCACTGTCATATATAAGTACTAGTAATTTGGATTCACCAATCACAATATTCAATAGCATTTGACTTAAAAGGAAACATGAAATAAATAAAACTTAAAATAAATAAAAGAACATGACCAAGGAATTATCAAACATTTACAATCTTAGAGTCATTTAAAAAATTCTACATATTTAAATTACAGCAATGAATAGCCTCAAACTAACATAAATTTTAGTTTAAGGCAAAGCTACAATCTTCAGATATTTTGAAATGATTTCTAATAACTAAAGAAAATAAGAAAAATGTTTTTAAATAACATGAGAGTTGACAACAACATTTTTCTTTAAATTGTAACTCAAAGTCTACTGTCACAAGGGTAGTACAATATACACACATATTTAGTATTATATGTAGGGATATCTGATAAAATTATTTTTTTTAATACGAGATTACGTTTGTCATGTAGGTACATGGAAAATATGAAACATTATTTTAGTATGGGGCTGAGACATATTAAATATAATAAAATTTTTACATTGTCAAATGATAAACATAATCACATTCTTTCATAATAATAATAACGGTTGCTACGATAAACTTTTCAATCATATGGAGGTGTCAATAAATGAAATTTCTTTGAAATGAAGTGTTTTGACTTAGATTATTATTAATAGGAATGTGATTCAGCCCCATCTACTTGTAAGAATCTATGCATTTCTATTAGTAACAAAATGTTGGTTATTGAATGGTAGCCTCAAAAATATTTGATAAAAAAACAATGTTTCGATAAAACAAAAAAATGCCTGTTATTTTAAATTTAGGCCCTAGACTACACTTACTCACCCTAATTTAATATTCCCGTCTAATACAAATTTCAAATAATGCATATTTACGAATCAATCTTGGTTGCAACATTAGGATAATCAAATTTTAGAAAATACGTGAAGGACCTTCCAAATAACACAAATCGCATGGCATTTGCGTCATATCCAAAATGTGCAAGTAGATTGTTACATATTAAGCTTACATATTTCCATATAATAATTTTTTTACACACTCAAATACACATTTACAAATTCATTTGACTACGACTCGGAACTAACTGGCCACCGAAACGAGAAATTCAACTTTTTCTAATTTAAGAAACTGCAAGGAATTAGAGAGTAAGTCAAAATACTGCTTCTTTGTTGCTACTCGCAAATTATTTAAAAAAATATTCGAAAAATGACATCAATATTCTATATTTTCTATGCTTAAAAATAGATCTCAATCTAATACTTTTTAATTACTACAATTATTTTTTAAACTAGTATATACATCAGCTACATAATTAAATACAATTACACTCAACAAAATAACCATGTGCGTGTTGTCTGTTTGTCCAAAAGTTGATAACAACGGGAAATACACTTATATTTTTTAATTAAATATTACATTATGAGATTCGGAACTTACAGCACTGCTCTGCTGTCTCAATCGATTTTATGATCTAGGACTAGTAGATCCATAGACTCTATTATAGATTGGAATGTTTTGTTTTGTAATAAAGTCCTTGCATAACTTTGTGTGAAGCCAATTCAAGTAATATTTTAATTTATATTGAGATTATTAAATTTACATTTTAGGGTTTCATTATTTTCAGGTTCTTGCAAGAAACGTCAGAGAAATATACAAGATGAAGAAAAAACTGTAAATAGCATTTTTACAGTCAGAGTTGTGCGAACGGTACACAGAGAAGGATAATAATAATAACTATAACATGAAATTTTATTATGGAAATCAGTTATAAAGTAATTTTTTTTATAATCCGTATTTATGGGTCTAAATAATGGAACGAAGTTCATCTATGATACTAAACCTGATTTTAAATAATATTCTAGCTAAGTTCTAATTTTACATTCATGAAATTTCAGGTCGTATATATTCATAATAATAACTTTTGTACAGTAATATCTGACATAATTGCACACCAACAGGTCCAAATATATTTTAATGAAATAAGAAATGTTTTACAAACTATTATTAAAGGAATCAAAGTAACTCGGCAAATAATAAAACTATTTATAAGTGGCAGTGGTTTTTTTTCTTCTGAAATCAAGAAGTTATTTCTTTTCAAAAAGTATATATGGTGTATAATAATACAAATATACGAACAATTCGAATTAGAGAATTTTGTCACATTGGCGAGAAGGGGAACATTTAATTCACCCATAAAATTAATGAATTGAATAGTTGTATTATTTTTAATGTAGTTGGATTGTTATTTATTAAATGTCAATCCAAATCTAAATAACAAAATTAAATTGTTATAAATGATACTTCATTTGATCTCATAGTTATTTAGTTTTTCATTATCTCAACACTTAAATTTGTTTCCATCAAAGTTTCAATGTCTTTCTTGGGTTTGGATAGAGTTAATAGTTGAATAATCCTTTTTCCCCTAAATCCAAAAATGAAATCTGGAGCTCGGTGCCAACAAATGTGAACTAATAATTGCCCAACCAGGCATGTGTAAAAGGCGATTACTAACAAGCCTTGCAACACACCCTGAAGTTGCCATGTTGAAGATGGTGTTGAGAATTTATGGAATCATAAAGGATTTCGAAGTACTGATATGCAACAAGTGTCTGGCTCTACGGCGGAGGCCAGAATTGCTGCCTCTGACTGGGTGTGAGCGTTTGCTCCTGATCGAGTTGTCATGCGTGCGGCCAACGCGCCTCGAAGAACTGCCGCATGCTATGACCCGCTCGGCCGACTGGACTGTCATCCTCGTTGAACACCTCGCAGTTGCTGAATATAAGCCGCACGTCGGAAGCGAACTCCTCTTTACACTTGTAGCTGTGAATGGATGTATACTTTGTTGAAATAAATTAATTGCAACACTGAATTTAATACATTTACATTATCTATGTTAAATCTTTATGTATTATCTGAGGTGCTACTCTCTGTCTCTCACTTCTCGCTGTTCATTAAAAAGGATTATTGCTCAGTATTGCGTATTTAATTTCTAATTATACAATTCTAGAATTATTTAAATACTTTCGTAAAATATCATACTTTAAATATTACAAATCATATGCACAAGATAATTTTTAACGATACGTATTGGTCACCCTCCATATAAAAATATATTACGTTAGATTTGGGCACAATATCCACCAAAAACAAAAACATTGCTAAAAAGAATCCTTGTTTGATAACTTTGTTGGTATAGAATAATTTGTGCGTTAAAACAAAAGTTTGAAAATTCCTACCGGACAATTATATAAGTCAAAGGCATCTGCAAGATTAACATGTGGGGCATTCCACGCGAAGCGGACAGTATACTTACCATCCATCATGCAGCTTCCGCTTGATGGTTGAGAGGTCCATGGGACACTTGATCACCTTGCGGTACTGCGGAAACTGCTTTGTATTAACCGGCACTAGAAATGGCCACGCGTGCTCGTGGCACTCCATTTCGCACAGAAGATTCCTGCAATGAAATAAAAATTAAATAACCATTAGTAGTGCTATACCTATAAGACCATTTTACGGATTTTCCCGCGTTTATTTTGTTAGTGAACTTCGTACACATCGATATATATGGTCACGTAGCAGACTGAGCTTATATTAAAGGAAAGCAATAACATGATTCGCGGTTATAAAAAAAAGTGTAATCAAATACATAAATTAATAAGTGTTATTCTTAATATAATTAGCACATTTACAAATGCATCAGCTTGACACATCACGACTGCGTTTGTCGTAGGTAACATTAAAAAGATTTTACAAATGGATGGATTACACCATTGATCAATAGAAACTATACTATATTTGTTATTATATCAAAACCAAATTTTCAGCTGACCGAAATTAGATAAATTGTTTCGTCACACGATACACTAAATATTATATTCAATTGGCTACACAATAGAAAGAAAGAAGACAAATGAAAATTAAAAAAGTTTCCTTACTTGCAAAACTGTAATTCTTTCAGTTGTTTTTTGGCACTAGTTTTCTCTTTCTTTGCACGTGACAGCAAAGGTAAATTTTCCGAACTGATGTCCTCCCCTGTACAAACACAAGTTTATTGCATTTGAAAATCACTTATTCCGCTTGCATTTGGGAGTCTTGATAAGTTCATTAAACATTTCTACAACATTTTTACGTACCATCAAGGTCCGGTTCATCGTGTTGTAGGGCGCCGTTGCTGCTGAACTGCAGAGCTCGCCGTTTTTCTGGCGGAGGACCGTCATCTGACAGCTCCATTACTGTTTTAAAGTTTTATACGACTGTAGCTTAAGCTAATAGACGAGTACTATAGTATTGGAGTGCCTAGGATTGTACCCCTATCAGTTGTGTATTGTTAATAATTACAAGTAGGATACAATTTAAAAAAACTAAAAAACCCGACTGCGTTTTTGTGTAATATTTTATTTTGATATACTCAGTAAATAATCTACTCTCACAGTAAATACGAATCTAACGACACCCCTCAAGCTAAAATAAATCAAGTCGTTCAGGCTGTCAAAAAATTATACATACATAATCTCGAAAAACATAACCCTCCTTTTGGAGCAGTAGGATAAAATAGAGTAATGTATTTGTAGTCTATAATTTTCATTTATGACAAATGTTATCGGAACAAAAGACATTTCTTTGAAACGATGTCTATAGCTTACATGGGATAACAGAAATTCAGTAAACAAATATGACTGCTCAGTGTGTAATACAGGATGGCTTTTCTAAGTGTATCCATTTTATTTATTAAATTCTAGACATAAATAATGTTATATAAAAATGATTTAAAATCACTCGTAAGTAATTAATTACATTCATTTGAACTTATCCCAAAAAGTGTGTGATTTATACGCAACTCATTTATTTTACGCCCGATCATTCGTAACTAACACGTACACAAGTTCGTGCACAGTAAAATTTAGGTATTTATGAATGACTACCGCATTGTCAACACGTTCTGTTTTTAGGGAATAGAATGGCATTTTTTTTGGAAAAAAAAAACTTTGTTTTCTATTTCAATAAACGATTATACTCCCGTGTCTGAACCTCCTGTGTAAATTTGGGCACTTCTCAAAAAATCTCCCTGTATACTTGATCGGAGGCGGTTTATACGAAAAATAATATTGACTACAAAACCAAACGGTTGCCATGTTTAAGTTATGACGGGAGTTCTATCCGTGTGGTGACGCCTACCGGGGTGGTGGTTCAGTCCGTTCTCCGGCTCGGCGAGCGGCTCGTCGCGCTCGTCGTGCTTCTCGGGCGTGTGCAGGACGCTCGCCGTGCACTCCTCCGCCGTGGTGGACGTCGACGCCTGCGACGCCGCTGGGCTGCAACCATAGCACTGGTGAGGTCCCATCAAGGTCAAAGTATCTTTATTCAGTATAGGCTTAGCTTAAGGCTTAAGTTATTATTGAACGTCAACAAAAAGACTACCACCTGTTCACTAAACTAGACGTGAACAGAGAAGGACCGGCAAGAATACCATTAGCTACCCGGGAGCACTATGACAGTGTATCAAGTATCATATGAAGGGGACATTAACAGTACATTAGTTTAATAAAAAAAACCGCCCAAGTGCGAGTAGCACTCGCGAGTGTTCCGTACCGTTTTCTATAAAATCAGCAAGAGAAATCACGTTTGTTGTATGGGAGTCCCACTTTAATATTTGTTTATTTTATTTATTGTTATAGCGGAAACAGAAATTCATTCAGAAATTTGATGACTCTATGGCGCAGTTGCCAAGGTATTGGCTTCGGCGTCGGGGGTCGTGAGTTCGATTCCCACACGGGACAACTATTTGTGCGCACAGATAGTTGTTTCGTACGCAATTTATGTTAGTAAAACGTCCTTACAACACAGGATAATGTTATCCTATAGTGAGGGCAATGTTTTAAAAAAATTACCTTGGTACCATGCTCTGGTCAAGATCTATACTGTTGTCCTTTTGTTTGCTGTCTCGTTTTTTCGCATTGCGCGGCTTCTTAGGGGGCGCTCGAGAAATGCACTGAGAGCAATACCATTTGCCTCGCGGATTCTGTTAAAAGTACAATAGTTTTTGTATATACAAAGCAGTAGAAACATATATGAAGTAGGTACGATATTTAACGGAAAGCGGACCGTCATTTTCAATGGGTAGACCAGTTGTTTACTAATAGCTGCGTAGTGCAGGTAGAATTTAAGGTTGTTATGGCATATAAAGCTGTTTTCTGTCATCGGGTAGAAATGCTAAAATTGCCAACAGCTAAAGGAAGATTATTATACATAAACTAGCTGACCCGGGAAACGTTGTTTTGCCATATAAATTAAAAATGTTTGGGGTGGCCCACCCTTAACATTTAGGGGGATGAAAAATAGATGTTGTCCGATTCTCCACCCTGGCCGATATGCACACAATTTCACGAAAATCGGTGGAGCCGTTACGGAAGAGTTCAATTATAAGCACCGTGACACGAGAATTTTATATATTAGAAGATAGTGCCAACGCGCGGCAGAACACTATCGATGTATGGCGTTAATGAACTCTAATAATGGAGGTAGTGCGGAGGCGGAACAATAGCTGTTTTTTTTATATTTGACAGGTTCAAAGATTAGGGATATTGTGCTGGCGCATCTCTAGCTGGTGTTATCAGCGGGCAGTGATGACTATTTAAGGTTAGTTGCAGTTCGCCGGTAAGAATCCAAGCTTATTGCTTTAAGATAGAGCTGAGTTTTATCAAAGGTGGTGGCAGTGCATCGTTACAGAAATATGTGACAGTAAGGAAGCCATCACTAAGGCGCGGTTGCGGTGAAGGAAGAATTTCGCACGTGAAATCTGCCATTGCCCGTCTCTTGCTCCCGCGCAAATGTATTGCCGTCACGCTCGCACGCATGCAATGACCGCGCTCGGGTGAATGAAGGGCAATATAGTTGCGCGTTAGCAATAGAGACGGGCGAGGAAAGAGCACGATATTCTTCCTGCTCCGCGACCGGACTCTAGGCAGCACGCTGTCGCGGGTAGTGGTAGCGGTGGCAGCGTGGCAGTGACCTTGAGGAGTGGCGGGTAGTGGCAGTCCTGGTGGTAGGCGCGAACGCAGAGCGCGCACGGGATGGTGCGCCCGGCCGACGCGCCACCGCACACGATGCACACCCGCTCGCCACGCGCTTTGTTCACGCATTCCCAGCAGTACCTGCAACGCAATCCATAATCAGATTTGCACTTTTTACTAATAACTGTATATATACATATTTTTTTTATATGTGAAAAGTTGTTAACCGAGTAGGCGGATCACCTGATCTTAAGTGAATACCGCCGCCCATGGACATCTGCTACCCCCGAGGGTTTGTAGATGCGTTGACAAACTTTTTGAAAACTGGGCTCCGGCTACCTCACTCACCAGACGAAAGTATTATACTTCCACTTTACGCCGGTCTTCTGTGAAGTCGTTGTACTTACCCGGACGAGCCTGCCCATTCGTGCAACAGCCGAGGCTGGCTTTTCTTTTCCAAACCGTTGATAGTATTTTAACTATCAATAAGTGAGTGTCGTGATCATATGTTGAATAAAGATTTTTGAATTTGAGATTGTAGCCAAAGTGTGATGATTTTAATAAAAAATATTTTTGCGACAAAACAAAGTAAGAACTCACCAGTCGCCCTCGGGAATCTTCTCCATGCGCGGTTTGAAACAATAGGTATGGTACCCTTTGTCGCAACCATCGCAGAGCAGTAACTGACCTTCGTTGTCGCCAGACAGGCAGAACTGACAATTCTGTAAAGACAGCACGTAGATACGACTTTTTAAATTCAGAATATGTACTTATAAGAATTAGTCTTATTTATCACCAACATAATCACTTTTGCTGTGGCGAGTTAGCAGAGTCGGACGAGCGGCTTGAGCCGGATAAGACAGTTAAAAATCTGACTCTCCTCGTCCTAATGTTGGACGGCGACCTTATAGCCGGATAACTCAAACATCTCTGACCCCCTCGCCCCTCCAGCGTTGGACAGCGACCTTCGAGCCAGATAAGACAGTCAAGGATCTGACCCCCCTCCTCCTAATGTTGGACGGCGACCTTACAGCCAGATAAGACAGTCAAAGATCTGACCCCCCCTCATCGTATTGTCGGACAGCGACCTTCGAGCTGGAGAAGAGACTCACGGCTTTCATGATGCTCTTGTCCCACGCGACCGCCGCCTCCAGCGCCTGCAGCAGCATGGCCAGCTGCGCCGAGGTGTTGCAGCGCGCCACGGCCTCCCGCCACGTCGCCAAGCCGCGCGCTATGCCCTTGTTGTCTGGAAAGGAGATAATGTACATGCTATCATGGCGTTTATTTTACACGTGCCGTGTTTAAGACACGCCATGATGATAAACATTACTCGAAGCTAATGTATGAATAATGCAAATTTAAAAGTAACATTCGATATGCGTGCTGATGATTTGTAATAAGCTCTACTCGCGGAATCTCGATTGTGCATATGCAACGGCGGACATAATTAACAGATACCTATTAAACGTCAAGCGTTGGTCCGAAAGATTCGGTCTCTCTTTTAATCCATTAAAGTGTCAAGCCATTAGTTGAGAGTATTTTTATTTATTTATTTATTTACCCTTTATGCACAAATAGTACAATGGCGGACTTAATGCTAAAAGCATTATCTCCCAGTCAACCTTGGGGTGGTACAGAGAAAATTAGGTAGGTAATCGACTTCAAAAAAAATATTCTGCTGCTTTTCCTCCGATTATGGATTTTAGATTATATATTGACACCAAACTTAGCTAAGCAAGCTCCAGCAAATCATGGATAACCAAACGTAATCGCTTAAGTAGTTTGGAGAGTATTAATTACCTTTCCCTTCGCTCGCGTCGGAGTTTTGAGGTGAAGTAGCAGATGCGTTGCCGTGTTCCCCTTGCAAAACTGCCCCTAACGTGGCTTCTGTTGTGCTGCATTGGAAAAAAATACTTTATCAGCAAACGGTCGCTTGTAAAAATCAAGCAAATATATTCCTTGTAGTCATAGCTGTTTTAACATTTCGAAAATATTTTATAATATAATAATTTTTTTTTCAGATAATTTGACAATCCATATACATGTTATTAAAACGTAAAATTAAATTCTAGTGTTAGTAGTAGTAAGCAGATAATGCCATTTCAAGTCTGTCTTCCTAATCGTAATGTTTGAAATTTTTTACATGCTTGTGAAAATAAATGGAGGGCATATAAAATGTTGGAAACAAAACATTTAGAACATTTTATGATTGCAATTTATCTGGCTTCGCTGTGCACCTCAGTAAAATGTATGTTGACTGTTTTTCCTACTGTCTTAATCTGCCTTCTTTTTATTCCAGGTCAATATTTTTGGTAAGCGTAAAGCGAGAAAGGATAAAGAAGGAGATTATGTGTGACTATGCGCATAAGGCGAAATACAACACAACAATGTATCTTCTGTTGTTGAACAACTAATTTAAGGCTATATCTTACAAAATAAAACCTTGCTGTTCTAGAAAATTCTTATAACTAGTGTCTTCTACAAAAAAAAATAGGTAGCAATATGGAGTGTAAAGATAAGGAGTAGTACCTCAATGTATAGAAAATATAGAATGTATTGTCCATAAAATAGAATACGTGATGGAGTTATTGCAGCATGTTCTACATTTCATAATCTCTTGATTTCCATGGGCATATTATTCTTAGTTAATTTGTTACATTAGTAGATATTAGGTAAATAGATATATTAGGACAAGTTTTTTTAACACAACGTTCTCTAGTCCCAAACTAAGCAAAGCTTGTACTATGGGTACTAGATAACTAATAAACATACTTTTCTTTTGTAAATAAATACATATTATACATGTATACACACCCAGACACTAGAAAAATACTATGTCCGTCACACAATATTTTTCCAATAGTGGGGATCGAACCCACAACCTCTGACGCAGGAGGCAGGTACACTACCCACTACGCCATTCGGGTCGCCAGTTTAATCCATAGATTACATTAGCACCATTCGGGTAATTTATTGAACCATTATTATTTTTATTACCCTTATTGTACACCTTTATATTGACGTTTTTATAGTAAAAACATATGAGAAAATAATAGTAATTTTTTATGTCTAGAAGACTGTCCTGACCAGGTGTTTCATTTTAACCGAAATGTATTCATATATATTCTTATATATTTCGGTTATCATCATATCTATTTAAATCTAAACATTACCCCCTTTTGTAGAAAACTTAAGCGTAAAAAACGGTAAAATGAAATATAAATTAAATGATGTGCAAATATGTGCAAAACTTAATGAAACGTAAAGAGTGACACTCATGGTGCAATAAATCGTAACATTATTGCGTTCTACCACATTTTTTTCAAATCCCAAATCATATTTTTATCATGCTTCTAATTATATGGACTCATCTACACCTGACCTATCACACACGCAAAACATATACCCATAGAAACCACCACCCATCAACAAACCGGAAACAAAAATATTAAACCTTATAACACTAAATCACATAATTTTCTTAAGAAAATTCGTCGTACCAACTAAAGTGGAATATCAAAAAAGAAAAATAACTAATGTATTCAAATAACAACTCTATCACCAGGAATTAGAGTGCACAAAACAGAACGCCCAAAACGGTACCGCCCAAAAATTTCCCGTTAAACAAACTACTCGCCCGCTGTTCGGTCGCTTACCTTAGAAACAAACAAACTCATCACACACTACCACCGATAAAGCCTCGCCACACGACAAACTAGCAGCCTGAGAAAGTGAATCGCATTACCTAGCATACCTTTGTACCAAAGGCGGTTTGAGGTATCTCCTCTCGATGTGTGCCTCAACAGACGCCAGCTTGTGCCTCGCCCTGGCCACGATTTCCGCCCCGGTCGCCTCCTCGGGTAGGGGGAGGCGCGAGGGGCGCCAGCCCTTCACTTGCATCGAGGCCGCAGCCACCCTCTCTTCTAGAGCTTCCACCTAAGTAGGTACAAGTTCAGAGTTTATTTCTTTACTTAGTTTTCACATACGCACAAACGGTTGAAAGACTAACGCCCGGTTTCTGAAACACTGATCATCGTAGATGTCAACTAATCAGCTGTCAAATGGCTTTTCAAATGTCATTTGAATTGCCAAAAGGTTGGCCCAAACATAAAAAAAATAGCGTTTGGGCAAATTGCTTTCTTAAAACTTATTATTACCATCGCCAATAACTGCATGTCGACACGTCGCGCGGTGGTCGCGCAGAATGAATTCGGCAAATCGGGCGGTGGGTAGTCCTGGTCGGCCGTTACGTCGCCGGTTGGAGTAGCTTCCAAATGCAGTACGTCGTTCTTCTCTGAATTCAACTGCGAACATAGCGGAGGAATCGCTCATTAATTATATAGTATTCTATTTCCTATTATATGTTAATATTATTAATGTGAAAATTAATATCGCTTTATTAATACATACTGTGTATATATAAATTTTTCTTTCAGTTGCGCAAGCTACCTTGTCGTTGAACGCTAGCGAGTTTTTTTTAATTTTTATTTTTTTAAGAAAAGTTGTCAAGCGAGCAGACGGTTCACCTGATAACATCACGAAGTGAATACCGCCGCTCATGGACACCCGAGGGTTGCAGATGCGTTGACAACCTTTTGAAAATTGGGTTGCAGCCACCTTACTCACCAGACGAAACGCGAAAGTATTATACTTCCACTTTACGCCGGTCTTGTGTGAGGTCGTGGTACTTACCCGGACGAGCCTGCCCATTCGTGCAACAGCCGAGGCTGCTGCGTGGCCCTATCACCGTTGTACGAGCTTCGGACTCACGTTAATGAAGCACGCACTACAAATTGGATGGCACAGGTATGACACCGCTCGAGTAAGTTTGAGAGGGAGAACGCGAGTCAGTCGGCCGGCTGCCGTGACTACGGGTGCGAGCGAGTGCGATATAGGTGCGCAAGCTACCTTGTCGTTGAGCGCGAGCGAGTTGTGCGTGAGCGCGGCGTGCAGCTCGCGCTCGCGTACGCCGCGCGGGTGCAGCGCGCGGACCACCGCGTTCAGCTCGCCGGCGTCCGTTATACGCCACCAGCCGTGTCTGCAATGTGTATGATTATGTTTATAAATCAGGTTTCAATATTCTATCTATAGATAGATTTGGTTACTAGCGATAGGTATTTGACATTGGCTCCATAATATTTATTAAATACATCAAAATTCTATCACCAGTAACCAAGTCTATCTGTATCGAATATTGAAACCGGGCCGTATGTGAAGGGGAATGCACCTTGTGTTTTATTTAATTATTGTAACGGTTTTATATTCTATGCCATAGTAACTGCAAGATGAATAATGATGCGATCTCTTCTTTAACTTGACTGACCTCCAGACTTTTTTATTAGCCACGTGTTATGCCACTATTATACAGCGTGTCTTTACAATCGCGACAATAAATGAACACGCATATAGAGGATACATTTTTAAAATTGTATTAAACATTTACATTCTTTAAACATCAATATTTACTGAGTTATTAAATTTTTCAAAACAACGAATTTTAGAACAACCTTACGTACAAAACTGTAACGTAAAGTTCATTTGTAAAGGTCACAAAGCATGAATGGGTTAAATGAATTTGAAAGAGACAAAACATACTGTTAGAAGGAGAGGCTTGCAATGCGACGCCGTGGCAACGAATGAAAAATGGAATATAGGATGTTACAAACTTTTTTACTTAATTAGTTTGTTTCAAAAATATTTTTTTTTAATTATGGATTTTTTAAACGTTAATATTTTTTATGATTATTGGCAAGTAGCGTTAGACGTGTGTTCATATATTGTCGCGATTGTAAAAACACGCTGTATATTGTGCCACATTTAAAAAAGGGATGTGACCTACTAACAATATGTTTCTGTTATATCTAAAAGAAAAGTATAAAATAGTAAGTAATATATAAACCCTGTTCGAATTTTACCGAGGAATCCAAACAGTTGACCGGTCAACAATTGAATAATAATTGTGATAACAATTTCGTATTTCTCACATCTTTAAGACCCACCTAAGCTCTCTGGGCACGAAACCCCCCTCCAATTTCTTGGGCAGCCCGTTCACTTTGCACTGCTCCAGCTGCTCCACCTCTTCGGGCGTCATCTGTATTGGCGGTGGGCTGTCGCAGGTGACGTATGTGGACAGCGCGTTGAAGTTCAGCAGGCCAAGGCTCGTTAGGCCCGAGGCCTTCGCTTTCTGGGCCGCCGCTTCCATCTTTGCCGCGTCCGCTTGCAACTCCTTTTCGAGGTCATTGTCCTGAGGCGAATATTGTTCATTAATCATGACATAAAATATTTCTGTTGGGTACCCGCCATTCTTCATCACAATCAGATAGATAGGGACGGCATAACATATGAATCATATTGTAAGCGGTATCGGCTATGTTTTTTACCACCGGCCTGACGTCAAGCCTCCCTAGAATGCAAAGACCCAGATCCGGAACAATTATTTGTGGGTCACACAAATACGTGTCCCGTGTGGGAATCGAAACCACGACCCCCGACGAAGCCAATAATTTAGCAACGGCGCCACCGAGTCATTCTTTATCACCATTTTACGCAAAACTTGTATTATAGTAAAAGGAATTCTCTTTCATAGTCTTTTATTTAGTCTGTTACATGCACGTGACACGGAATGGATTTCGGTAATTAATGTCTCTTTTTTTAATTAAGAAGGCATGTTGAAATGTGGTATGCACAATTTTATAATTTGGGATTATTAAAAAAAGGAAGACAAGTCAGTGATGGTCGTAAAATAGCAATGATTTTGTCTCCCTTTTTGGGTGTGATAAATTTATTTTATAATTATATAAAGAAGCAGTGCAGTTCATAAAATTTAATGGAATAAAATAGTAGTGTAAAACAAACTTACTTGTTCCTTGGTATCCTCCTCCATATCTTCATCTTCATCATTATCATCTTTGTTTATGCTTGCGTCCATCATTTCTTGGTCTAGACCAGACATAGTCAGACTGGAATCTGTATAAATGTTATTAGTCGGTATCTGAACACTGGTTACCATGCTATTAAGTGTGAATAAACTCGGGTCATGGAGTAGATGTAAATTGTTCGACACGTCCCACTTATGACCCTGGCACAGAACCACTTCTGAGCACGTATGCTCGTTGTCACAGAACTCGGGTATTTTTTGATCGTGAGATTTTTCTTCGTTAATGTTAGTCAAATATGAGCTCTCATGTCTCAATATTGAGAACCATTTTCCCTCAAGCATCTTCATGTAAAGATGTGCGTGAGCGCTTTCTGCATCCAATAGTTCTTTCTTTGTAGGTCGTTCTGGAACGTCACTGTCGTCTTTCATCTCAGCTTCAGCCTTCTTCGCTGCGTCTAATTGTGATGAGACGGCTTCTGCCATTTTCCTTAATTCCTCTAAATTATTAACTAGCTCATTTTTACTCTCTTCTGGGTTCTCCTTTTCTGTGGATTCTGTTTTAACAATATTTTCCACTTTCACTATCTCTTGGGGCTTATCCATAGGCTCAGCTTGTGTCGCAAACATCGGTTTGTGTGTCGGTTTCTGGACTAGGAAAGCGGTGGGTATTGAATCTTCAATATCCAACAGGTCTTCCTCTTCTTTGTTCTGCTTTTGCTGGATGTATTTCTCCTCCATCTTTATTGAAGATCCTAGGACAAAAAACAAATACCAAATCTATTAAATCATACAATAGTTGGTTACTTATAAAGATCCTCCTGTAATACAATCATTTTTTATATTAGCTTGATTTAATCAAATCACAAAAGCACACTAACCTTCAACTTTACAAGTGCCGTGTTTAACATTAGGCTCGTACTTAATTATTTGAGTATGGTCACTTAAGTTGAGTTCGGATTTTATATTTCTCAACTCCAATTCACTTTTCAAAGCTTCCTCTTGGCGCTGTGCTTCAGTTTCTACTTCTTGTTTATCATCAGATACTTCTTTCTTGTCCTTTAAGGCTGGTGAAACATAGAGAGGAATGATTAAAACAAATATCAATGCACACAGTAAACAATGATGAAAAGTGATAATAATATTGTAATATATTTGCACAGTACAATTACATCACAAGGAGTAACATGTAACACATCATTGCCATATGGTAAAAAGTTAATAAAATATTCAATTATTAGCGTACCTTTCTTCTTTTTCTTGGCAGTGTCACTCAGAGGTTGACCTTTTAAGGCAGCTGTCTCTAGAGCCTCTTGATAAGGCAATATTTCCGGTTGGGCCGACTCCATTGCCTCCACATATATTCCGCCGCTTTTGCCCAGCGACCAGTATCTTCTCCAATATCTTAGGAAGATAAACACCAATTATATCACATGAAAATCTTAGGTAAAAATCGCCAACGGCTTTCCAAATTTTTCTATTTACCATAGAGTGCAATTGCTGTAAATACGGATTGGTATTGATCAAATTATTTCTTGAATGTATGCAATGTTGTCTTCAACTATAAATTTGTTAAGTTAGCAGTAAAGCAAATTTATGTCTGCGAAAGTAACTTGATACATTGTTTTAATTTGTACTCTAAAAAGTTGTCACCTGTCTTGTCCAAAGCATGTAGCTCTGAGTGCGTGTGAGCCAGCGGTAAGTTGCTGCAACTGTTGTTCTGACTGCCTCAACAGTTTTTCCACTTTGCGTGCGAGTTCTTCAGATGATAGGTTCTTATCCTCGTCCTTTAAAAATATGTTATATCACATACCAACAATCTTTAAATTATTTTGTTTTATTAATTTGATACAGAATATACATACAAATTATACAAAACCTAGTAAGGATTTTCCTAATACAGAATGATGATTGAAAATAATATACAATAGTTATAAGAATGATAATAAAAACATTATAGACATAATACAGCATCATTAACTATATGACTTCCATTATAATTGAAATAATGAACACTATTTTATTAAATGTGCATAAACTCTAAGTCATTACTATAATATGATCGTTACCTCTTCAGGTTGAGTTCCTTCACTTTCCAAGTCGCTCAATATTGCGTCACAATCACCTATAACACTGTCTTTGTCGATCTTAGAGTTGTCAGGCGGCGAACACTCGTCTTTATTGTTGTTCATGATTTCCTTCGTCTTCATACTGTTGGAGAGATCTTTTAAGGGTGAAAGTTCTTTGTCGCTCTCCTCGATAGGTGTATTATCTTTGTAAGGGGACGGTAATTCTGCTTGTTTGCTTAATTCTGAATCCAAAATCGACGAGTCGTCTTTGTCAAGTTTTTTCGGTGTCTCACTCTTGTCACTCATTGAATGATCTGTGAAAAAACAAAGAAACAATAAATTCATTTCAATTTTGGTCAAGAAAATTGCATAAAAAACCATTATTTATAAAATATTTAATGTCGCATGAATTGTTTTCAGCAACTTATTACAATATTTTTGGTTTAAAAATCTATGTCAAAGGTTTTAGAGCTTTCCTATTACAATATATAGGTACGTAATTTGATAAATAACATTTTCATGTTATTTTCGTCTACATGCGCTAAAGCGTAATAAATTATTAAGAGAAATAGAGCACGTACCTTCTTCTGGCAAATGGGGAAGGGTTACATTAGCGGTGCTCTCTTCAACGAGACGCTGCATCCGCTCCAACGCCAGCGCCTGCTGTTTCTCCGCTTGTTCTGCACGCACTTTACGCTGGTGTAGCACGCGTACTCTGAAGTATATTGTTTTCGTCATAATATAAAACTAAACTTAACAGTTTTAACAAGATACGGAAGGAGCAATATTTAGCAGCTGGTAACATAGAGCAATATTTAATCAGTCGTTATCGTATTTACTTTTTTTTTTCAAATTCTACATTTCAAACGATGCAGTATCAGATAGCCAGCCGTGTTCACGAAATTAATTTCAACAATGTGTAGTATTAACCTGAGGTAGGGCCAAGCAAGTGTTCGGTGTTGCAGTTAATACGTGTAAGTACCGACCACACAGAAGACTGGCATGAAGTAGAAGTGGTACACCTCTGCGTTTTATCTGGTGAGTGAGGAAGCCGGGCCTACCATAAGGTAAGAAACCTTAACGTAAACAAAACAATGAAAACAATATCGTAATAAACTTGAAAAGTAAGAGTGAATTGTAATGCGAAATTTGTGAACGTAAAACGTCCTTATAACTCAGTATAATTTTATAGGGGCATTGAAAAAGTATAATATAATTTTAAAAAAAAAACACTAACTTGCGTATCTTCATGTCCATGAGGTAGCGCTCCTTGCGCAGTTGGTTAAGGTGTTCGAGAGAGGCGTCAATTTGCCGCAGTACGGCCTTGCTCTGCAGCAGTTCGTCGCATAAGTACGCCAACATGCGCGCCTTTGTAGTCGGGTTCAGCGCCAGGAACGGCTTGTCGCGTAGCGTTTCTGACAAAAGAAAGCTTCATAACAAATGCCGCTACTAATAATAACTTTATCAAATCTGAGCAAATACAATAGATTTTTAGTATTTAGGAGACAATGTTTTTTTTCCACTAGGCATCGTTCTACAGTAGGACCAATATATTGCCAGTCAAACAAGTATTTAATGCCAAACAAACTAAACTAAGTGTGATAAACACCCAAAACTTATTTACTGGTGATTTCAACATAATCTGTATTCATGGGACAACCCTATTATTAAGCATTTTTCATATGATCATATAATACACGACGTACCAGATAATTTGTAAGTAGGGTTGTTATGCAGCTGCTCGTAGTAAGCGGCGTTTTTGGTGCTGGAGCAAGTGTGCTGCATTTCTGCGTCGCTTTGATGGTGGTCGGCGACTCTACGCTCTCTTTCCCGCTCAGCTGTTAAACCTGTATGCAAATCAGAACTAAGCATAGTTAAAAAAATATTACTAATTTAACAACATAGATTGAAAAAAAATCATTGCACGTAAAACTGAAAAATACGGAAATACTTTTAGTGTCGATATTCGAACTTGGAATTTGTAAGTAAATAATTAAGCATGTCGCTATAAAATAAGTATTAAGTTTTATATCATGGGCAGCTGCGAGGGGTGCTTTATCTTTACTATAATATTTTTATTACTTAGAAAGACTTGAAAATAAAAAAAATTATTTGTTTGAAGGACTATTATACATTAAAAGAGTTTTGAATATACTGACCGGTTAGGGCTTTGAGCTCGCCGGTGGCGTTAGCGTAGAGATAGATGCGGAGCACCTCGCTGAGGTTGGCGGGGGTGATGTCGCCCATTCGGATCGCGTGTCCCAGCAACGTTGTGTGCCTTCCCGGATGAGGTATGCCTGGGTCCTCTGGACGCAAAAGCCATTATCAAATTTTCATTGAATGATGCATGTTTTACAGTTATGATATAACAAAGTATCTTACAATTATCTTTTTAACAATTTTTTCTAATCGGTTATGAATCTACAGAAACCTTAGTGTCAACAGTCAAACACATAACAGCCCTAGCCTAATAACTCTAGCCATAGAAGTGTCTATAAATTATAGTCCAAAATCCCAAAATAATTTTTGGTGTTAATTAATGTAATTGGCAAGTGGCTCGGGATCGATTTGGACTTTAACAGGCTGAAATTGAAGATGATGATAATGATAAGTAGCACCTACACTAAGCTAATATTGTTGTAAAAAACTTGATAGAATGACTCGATTTGAAAGTGCTTACAATTATGAGGTATGTATATGTAAAACAATTTTTGGTCTGAAACTGCATTTTCCTTTTAAAGTATTAAAAAGTCATAGAGAATTAGAGACACGGATTTACTTGCCGGTTATCCTCTGGTTTCGTTTAGTTACACAGACATATTCTTAAATACAAAATGTAACAACGTAACTTTGACTTAACAGTCCTGCAGTTGTGGTCTATTTGAGGGTTTGACGATAGTGAAACCGGTTGCGTACCGATTGCGCAGACGAGCAGTTGTGTCAGCACTTGCAGGAGCTCCTCCTCGGCATCCCCGCTGCAGTCTGGCAGCAACGACTGCTGCAGCGTGTGGAGACTGGGCAGCGAATCCACGTCTGTTCAGAACATTATATTTTAGTATATAGTGTATATATCGTGTATATATCGATCTCACCGATCGTAGTTGAACGAGGTAATTTAGTGATAGTGTATCTATCGTAGACTTGCTAATAGAAGCGTTAAGAATTCCGAGTACAAAGCTTTAAGTTAGTTTATTGTTTTAAGTTAGTTTTTGAATTTTTTTAGTTAATTTGAACCATAAATGTATGGTGCGATTAGAAACACACAATTTCTTTAATGAAATAAAACGGCACATATGACGTTTAAGTTTCGATGAATGTAGCAACAGCCAAATCTAATATATAAAATTCTCGTGTCACAGTTTTCGTTGCCTTACTCCTCCGAAACGGCTTGACCGATTTTGATGAAATTTTTTGTGCTTATCCGGTATCTATGAGAATCGGCCAACATCTATTTTTCATCCCTCTAAATGTTAGGGATAGTCCACCCGTTTTTTATTTTTTATTTTTTAGGCAAAATTTTATGTTTTTATTTTTTTATGACACAGCATACAAAAATACATACAACCCTAAATTTTCACCCCTCTACGCAGACGTAGTCGCCGGCAGCAGCTAGTTAGAAAATAAAATTTGAATATCATTCTATGTTTGGTTCGGCAAACTACTTACCAAATCCAAGTGTCTGTCCGAAGTTGTGGATAAACTCGAACACTTGCAGCAAATCGGCCATAGCTTGTCCAGCAAGTTTTAGCCCGGGGATCCTGCTTAGTGTAGGCAATGGTTTCTGATCTGATAACGACGAATCCTCCTGAGGTCTCCTGTAATACAAAAATATTTGATACTTTTAAGGCCCATTTACACGATGCCATTTTCTTGAACATACAAGAGCAATAATTGAATGCAATAAATTGCGCGCAATAATTGTTTAGACCATGCAACTCATTTATTGCTTCAATTTAATTGTATACAACAGGCAAGAAACTGGCACCGTGTAAATGGGCCTTTATTCAATGTCTTAAGATTAGTTAAAGTGAAATTCTAGTGGAATATTTTTTTTACGAGAGAAGGTGACAATCGAGATGGCGTCACCACTTGTTAAGTGAGAACCAATACAAGAAAGACCCCGGCTACCTGACTCACCAGACGAAACGCAGAAGTATGATATTTCCACTTTCACGCCGTTTCTCTGTGAGGTCGTGGTACTTACCCGGACGGACCCGCCCATTCATGCAACAGCCGAAGCTGTTGCGTAGCCAGCACAGTTAAATATATACGAGATGATCGGTGATGCAGTTGTTATTCCTATTAACAGATCCCTAAATATTGTCGTAATGTTATTGCTTGTTTTATTACGATAAAAAACTACTTGGTCGTTTCTTTTTTCCGTTCCCGAGAACACAGACAGAACTTATGCGTCCCCAAAATATGTCTATTCAGACACTATAAAAACACTATGTCCATCACACAATATTTTTCCAGTAGTGGGGATCGAACCCACACCTTGTGGCGCTGGAGGCAGTTTCACCACCGACTACGCTATTCGGGTCGTCAAATCGTTGATTCAACGGAGTTGACCCGACTTAAGGGAAGGGGGGGGGGGGGGGGGGAGAAGGATAGTGATGCACTGGGCGCACCTGAGCTCGGCCAGCAGCTCCATCTCGCGCTTCCTCTGCTGCAGCTTGCCCTCCTTGGCGAGGAGCCGGTCCAGCAGGGTCTGGTGCTTCCTCCGCTCGCGCTCTGCCCACCGCCTGCGCGCCTCCAGCTGACGGATGAAGGTGGTGTGCTGGCGCCTCCTCTCGCGCTCCTGCAAGTCGCTGGATGTTAAACACCCCCCGAACCGTTTCGAGTCCGTTCCAAATTCAAAATACCTTCAATACACCATGCTGGTTCTATGAGTGTTCGTTTTGAAGTTACTTGTTTTTTTTTTAAGGTGAATTTTTTTTTTTTTTAAATTTTTATTTAAGAAATTTAAAACACCGTCGAGGACGACCATGCCAGTTCTATAAATCTTAATGGTGAAAGTTTTTTCTGTAACTGTTGCTACTTTTAGTTTTTTTCAAGACTCGCTTTCATATAATTATGAAAAAAATAAAACACGAAGTTTTATACTAGGAGGCTGACAATCGTATTATAAAAAAGTAACATTAAATGAAATTGATTATCATTGCTTGTCCGATACAATTTTAAGATTAATTTAAGATTAGGTTAAGATTAGGCTACGGCTAAAATAGAAATATATCGAAAGTTATATAAAATTGAAAAGCAAAAATATTTAATGTGAGTTGCCAGTTTTTAATTTAAGACCTATTTTGATTTGTCTTTTATCTAATGCAAGTAATATAAGAAGTATAGGCAACAAAATAATATTAATTCTACAGCAACAGAAAATATGATTTATTAAAAATGCTTACAGACTAACATACTAGCCAATAGTCTTAAACGTTGAAAACAATAGAAAACCTTAAAAACCTTGCATGCTAATAAAAGCATGTTACCCACTAAACAGTAAAGAAATAAATAGACGCCAAAGAAAAACCGTGACTTGTTTAATAGAGCATGCGACAATACTTTCATTAACCGTCTCTAATAAATACAAGCTAAGAAGTCCCGTCAAATCGCTAATGCGTGATGCAAGTAGGGACTGTGTGAAATTTACCTCAGTTATGTACTTTTGCTGTCGATGTGCGGTTGGCGATCCAATCGTGCATTGGAAAAGAAAACATTGTGTGAATGAAAGGAACGCGGTGCGAAACTATCAGAGAATCGTACTCAATTGATAAACCTAACACAAAACAAATTCGTGTAATATATGCATAGAAGTCATGGGTTTTTGCTTTTTTTTATTTTTTGAAAATTTTGAAGTTAACATTTATAAAAGATAATTAGTAGACAAATTTTTTCAATTTAATAATTACCACAATGTTATTCCCATTGAATACTATGAATAAAAAAAACTATAAGACTTCTATTTATATATTAATTTCTATTTGCGTATCACTTATTTATACTGCATTTATCTTAAATTAAAGAATTTTTCTCTTAGATTGAAATGCCCTTTTAGGCAATAACGCGTCTTTTACCGTATGGATAGGAATTTTGGCAGGGCTTTTTAGGAAATATATTTTATTCAAGCCTTAATGTATAATCAACACTTAACTCTTAATTGTTCAACTATTTTATATTGCAAACATGTAACAATTAATTTAATATAAAGATAAACATTATTTTTAGACGACTTGCAGATTTTTGCTTCAGCTAATTTAAACACAAGCAAACACACACGCAAACACACACACATACACATACAAATTATAACATAATTATAGCGTACCTGTTCTTTTAATAGAATGGCTTGCTGTCGCTTTAACTCTCTCTCCTGAAACAATACAATATCGTAAATATTGTACGATTTACAAAAAAAAATGTAAATCGTGTATTTTGGAAATTACATTTAGATACAGATTACTGAGTAATGAAATATGCGTAATATTTTTCGATCTTATTGACGTAATAATAAGAAAAAAAAAGGGAAAAAAGAACAAAATCATCTGGATCGACAAAAATAAAAAACAAAGAAAGCAATGATATGAAATCGAAAAAAAAGTAGTGTGTAAATGATCGTGATACGAACCACGGCCTTCTGTTTCGGGGCCGCCCGATTACCGACCGAGCTATTATAACATTTTTTTCCGGTGAAATTTACCGTCATATTCGAATGACATTTTCACGAATACCCCAATGCAATTTCATCATATTCTTCCAACATAACTGTACCAAAATTCATCAATATTAAAGTAGTATCAATAACAGTTATTTGAATTTTTTTCGTGAAAATAACTAAAATATACCAAACGAGCCGAATCTACATCTGACAGCTGCCATTAAATGTTCAATTACAATAAAAATTTGATGAACACAAAGTACTTATTAGTGATTGCTGACAATGTATGTACCTGCTAGATAGGAAAACTAGCTCCTACAAACATTATATCACAAAACCGCCTTAAAACTTTATTATGTCATTCACCAACTGTATAGACATTAAGATCGACTAAATTGGTCTAATCATGTAGTCAATTCAATGTTGTTGTAATTATGCGTGAGCCATGAATAATGCTTATAAATGATTAAAGCGTTGACTCTTGCTTACAGACCTGTTGCCTCTTCGCCTGTTCTTCTATTTTCTGCTTCTCCAACTCCTCCTGCTTTCTTCTCTTAGCCTTCAAATATAACCGCAGAGACAACATCGAAAGCGGTACAGCAAATTATAATCAAAGCAGCGAACATGTAACAAATAGAAAATAAGAAAACTGAAAATTATATTAATGAATAGTATTTTTTTTTATGTATATAAAATCAAGAAATATTACATGAACATGGAATAGTTACGTAAATAAAGATAATGTGCAAGAAATTAAATGCATAGAATCTATTACTAAACAGAGCATCGTTGAAAATAGTTGTTTTATTTTTACTATTTTGCTTTATTTTATGATTTTTTTATGTTTTTTTTTAGTTTTCTACTGACTGAATGCTACTCTGAATGCGCTCTTATCCGAAGATGTGTTTGGACAAGCGATGAAAGTTCCGTTGTTTTTTCAAGCAGATCTTAAGAACCTCGAATTATGGAATTGAAATTGTACCGTTGACATGGAGAACTCTTGGCTCAATAGCCAGATCTATGAACAAAACAACTGAGTATTTTCTCCCCTTTTTCCATAATCATCTCACGACCTCTGACTGAATCGGAATCTTGATTAGCATTTAATACGATCCTTATGCATACCATCACCGGTTATTGTTAGAACAGAACATTATAAATTGTACTTTACCCCACAGTGCGTATCATTGCAGTGTGTGAAGTGGCCCTTATGATACAGATAATAAATACCGACATAGAACACCCATAGACATACCACAGACATTGATTAGGCGTGTTAGTGAAACCCGTGAAAACGTTAGTAATTTAGTAGTGTTCATTTTAATTGCTAACACGTACCAAGTACATGTCCTTACTGCCGTAGGGATGTACCGATATCGATAGGGCGCCGTCCTTGCCCACGTTAAACGTTCCTTGGCTGATCTTTTTCGTTATTATATCGTTTAGTATGTTCTCGTCATCGCCGCTGAGGTCGATGATCTCTTTCAGGACGGACTTCTGCGCCTGCCTCGGCATTAGCATCAGATTCTGTGACATGAACTCGTTTTTGGCATCTAAATATTTCTGCTCTAAGCTAGTCGGGTCCTCGTTTCTGCCGTCAGCGTCCAGCTTCGACCAGTCGCAGCCGTTTATGAACTCGCCGATCCTCGAGTAGGAGTCGATCAGTTTCTCCAGGTTGTTCTCCTTGTCGGGCGTTTTGGTCTTCTTCTCCGTCGCTTTCATCAGCGTGAAATCTAAATACTTGTCTTTGGGCCTTTTCGGCAAATCGAAGGCCGCTTTCTCGGCGAAGTCCTTCATTTTGTCCAACGCGTTGTACTCTTCGACCTCCTCCTTCCAACCTGATTGGTCGAAGTTCAGCGTTTTTATCGGCGCGTTTTGCTCTTTCGGTCCGCTGACTGGTATTAGGGATAAGCTTATTGGCGGCATAGTGCGGTCCTTGCTTGTCTTAACGGCGGGACCCATCACTATTTCCGGTATTTTCCACTCATTGGAATCTGTACCAATTTTCGGTAACGACGGCAGCGGTTCGATGGTGAGCTGCGTTCGGTTCTTGTTGATATGCTGTTTAGATTGCCATCGTTAATTTTTTTTTGTTTCACATTTTCTATTATCAATTGGATTATGACAACATTGTCAATGTACACTTCTTTTATGATCGCTTTTGTGTTAGAACTAGGTAAGACCCATGGAAAGTTATAGGGTAAAAAATTTACATAAATAAATAGAATAGTACATAGAGATATAACAAACGTAACTATTCAAACACACAGCTCAACTACCATCTAAAAGCTAAGAAGTCCAACGCTGACTACGAAAAGCAAAAAGTAACCGAATCTCTATAATTATCAACGTAGAATAGGTCCTTTTTGCTTTCGAGATCTACATACGAATGTGAGCACAATGTTGCCAAGCATCAAATTGATAATAAAAATAAAAAAAAACAAACACAAGCACATGTAAATAAAAACAACAGATACAAATAAAAAATAAAAGAGTGCCTAAATAACAGCGACATACCAAATCAAGACGTAATTTTAATTACAATAAAAGTTTTACATACAAAATAAACTTTATTTCAAATAAAGCCATACTAAAAAAACATACATAACAGATATAGGATTCATTTTCAAAGGAACGCTTGATAACGTTTAAGATGTTGATTCATTTTAAAAAGGTTTTATGGGTATTGCCAGTTGTTATAAAGGTACTTATATTGGTATATTTTAAAGAGGACAAGACAGTGTACAAAATTAGGTTAAGTTTGACGACTGACCCCGATATTGCCCGAAGTAAAATGGTTGCATTTACCTCTAAGAGTTGTTGACTTCGCGCCTCTTTTTCCCGTTTCGCTAGTTCGGCCCTTTCTGACCTTTCTAACTCTCGCACAAGACGAGCCTGCGAATGAAATGAAGCGATGTATGATAAAGCTATGAATAATAGTTGACTACCTGATTCACATAGCTACTGAGCCGGTGGCGTCGGCGGCCCTGGTCGCGGGTTCGATTCAGTTAGGCCAGTTATTTGTGTGACCCACAGGTAAATGAGATTTGTGGATGGGAAACGTTCTGACAACACAGGTTAATAATTATCTATAGAAAGTGGAACCATTTTTTAAAATGTTTCTTCGATACGCTTCGCTGCGCATTTTGTATTACGATTATAATATTTTAGGTTAGGTTTTTTAAGTAACGAAAATACGACCAAGTCCGTAGCGAATAATTTCAGTGATGATGACTAATTTATTGACCATGATTCGGAAGTTTCAGCGAAATGATTGGTTGATAGCGAGTGATCATTACAATTAAAATGAAGTGGAAGGTAATTTGAAGTTGATTTGTGTGAAGGTGATTTTTATAAATTACAGCAAATCACGTTCTGTAGGTGGCATTACAGTTATCTAATTTATAACTTTTCTATGTATTTCTGAGATCGATTTGTGAGCCTAAAGGAGAATTCAACGTTAATTCCACGAGTGATTGACTATGCGGGACCTGTCTAAACTAGTCTGTACTTTGTTTTCCTTCTCGGAAGGTGAAACAAATGCAGATTATTTATTCTGTAACATATGAATGAAAATAATAAAAAAATAGAAAAGAAAATGTAATAATATATAAATATATTAATAAATAATATACTCAAGTACTTAGCGAAAGGAAGAAACAATCAAATGAGAATTTTCTTTAATAATAAGAACAAGTGTAAGTAACAGCGTGGTAGTATAAATAATATTTTTTTCTTTTGTTATTTTGTGTGAAAAAATGAAAACGGATTGAGATATTGTAACACTATATTATTATTACAATTTTATTCCATCTGTTACTTTAACTTGTAGGGTTCTTGGAAATAAAATGTAATTTACCGTACATTACTCAATAATTTTACGAGAAATTAACGCAAAAAAATTCTACGCACATTCAACTACAATTAAATATAACATTTGTAGACAACGGCAGCAATAACATTCGAAAAATTATTATTAAATGGTATGCCATGATATCAGTTACTAGCTTACCTGTATATTTAATGGCATTTGTCTGTACCTGCCTTATGATATAAAATAGCGCTTGGTAGTAACAAGTCAGGATGCAAAAGATATTAGTCATGAAAGAATAAAATAATACTTATGTATCGAGGGTAGGAGCGTGCTTCGTTCGCTTGTTATACACAGCTTTTAAACACCAATTCATCTCCCTCATACTTATAGCATAGCCGATAATGCCTAATGATTGGAGCGTTGCAACCAGACCGAGTGAATTTGGGCTCTATGAGATTTACGCATAATAGAACTACGAAATGAAAAAAAAATATATAAATGTACAAAACCGAATTACAAAGACATTCTCAATCGTGTAGTAGCGAGACAGAAAACTAGACAAGCTGGGGCGCGAACAAAAGGCCAACATGCGCTCACTCACGAGCTTCAGAGGAGTATTTCAGTTTTGCGCGAACTTCACGTTTAAGTTAATAATATAACAGTATATACCTTGCTATCGTGGCAATGCACAGCTGTAGATATGTCCCAGTGATTTGTGAGTTTCACTTCGGATTCGTGAGATGATTGCTTTGACTGAGTGACTTCGTGTCGCAGAAGTAGAGGTATTGGCGGAGCCGGTGGTTGTGGGTTCGATTCCCACGCGAGACTACTGTTTGTGTGACCCACAGATAATTAATTTCGGATCTAGGTGTTTGTTCGCGTGATATTGTTGTATGTCAAACGTTCTTGTAACACAGAATGATGTCAGAGGCAATGTTTTCGAATGGACAACAATGGAACGTCTAGGTCGCAGTGGTCGTTGGGACTACCGACCTTCACGGCACACGGCATAGAAATTCATCGGTAGATGTAAAAAAAATTTAACATTACTAATAAGTATATTTATTTTATATCTCTATATTTAATAGTATTGTATGTTCTAATTACTTCTATTAAACCATAAAATTACTGTTTTTATATAATTATAGTTTAGAATATAATTATGTTTAGTTGCACACACCTACCCACTCACGTATAATGTCACGGGTTGGTACCAGGAGGCAGAGAACTCTGTTTAGTGTTAAGCTCGCTTTTGTACGTTTAATTTAAACCTTAACTTTGTTTTTGATTCTAATTTGTGTACAATCACCTACTAACAACATAAATGTGAATGTTAGTATGTTTGTTACGCTTTCACGCCAAAACTAATAAACCGATTATCGTAAAACTTTGTACATATATTCTTAGAGGTATTAAAAAGAACATAGAATAAAGTAAATAGCTTTTTATTAAAAAATATTTACGGACTTAAATGCGGGCGCAGCCGCGGGCGAAAATATAGTAAAAAAAGAGTAAAGAAAATATAATGTTTACCTGCTCTCTGCGCGGTCCAGCGTCCCTTCTGGCATCTCTGGCTGCTTGTTGGCGCCGCGCCAGCTCTATGCGTCGCTCCACCGGCGGCGGGGTAGGCCGAGGCGTGCTCAGGGCTGCCAGCGCCCGCGCCTCCTCCAATCTGGTAGAGGCGATCATTCGATTCGAGTTAATGCTTATTTTTTACGTTGACATGGTATGAGCGCTTTATCAAGTGACTAGCTGATAACCGCGGCTTTGCCCGCGCGGCCAAAGGGAATCAACAATGAGTTTTTTATTATACACCAGAATATGATGGTTGTTTTTTTGCGTACTTAGTTGACACTTATCATTACCTATATTTTGGACATATTAAACAATATCTCTATAAATCATAGCCTATGTGTTATTCTGATGTATAAGGTATATTATTGTAAAGTTTCATTAAAATCTATTCAGTAGTTTTTGCGTGAAAGAGTAACAAACATCCTTTCATACATACAATCTTTCGCGTTTATAATATTAAGTAAGGTTAGTAAGGATGACATGTGACTAGAAGAGTGATGAACATTAATGCGGTTGGAGGGTGTGGAGGAAGACTGAGAAAGATTTGGATGGACTGATAGAGATGATATGTGGCTTATAGAAGAAAGGTCATAGTGGTCTCCGAGCAGTAGTGCTCGTACCGTTTAAGAGCAGGAGAAAGGCGAAGACTTCTTCTGTCCTTATCAAAGGTTTCAATATTCGATCTACAGATATACTTGGTGACTGGAGATAGAATTTTGACATAAGCACAATGGAGCTAACGTCAAATACCTATCGCTAGCAACCAAGTCTATCCGTAGATAGAATATCGAAATCGGCCGTATAATGCCGTATTCTAAACTTGATTGGGCGAGTACCTCTTGGTGATCTCTGCCTCGTTGAAGACGAGCGGCTCGGCGAGGTCTGGCGCCGGCTGCACGTACTCGCCGAGCAGCGTGCGCGCGCTGAAGCTGAAGTTGTCCGCCGACAGCGGCGGGCACGGGTTCGAATCCAGGAACTGGGCCAAAATTCACATTGCTCACTTTAGCTCGGCGCCGACTTCGGAACGAAACGATTGCGACAGACATAAATACAAAATACGAAACGACGCCCTCGCTATAGGTTGTTTTTTTTTTAATTTTCATTTATTTAAATAGCATTTTATCGAATAAGGGCAATTTGTGACGAAACGAAACTTTTGATTGTATAAATCTACCGCATGGATGCAATGTTTGCCATTATGATTCTACGATTTATTGCATTTTCAGTCGGATTTAGTTGATTTTCCATATCTTATGCAATTGGTTTTAATACCAATAATCCCTAATATGTGTCAACATTGCATGATTCCCATATTTTAATGACTTCAATATTTTGTTTAAATTTCGTAATAATGTCTACAATGCTTACATGTTAACATTGTAAGTCTGGGCTATCAGCATTCATGTTTGCTCGAAATATGCCTCGGCAACATGAAGATTTGTCTGCAAGTGTTTGGGTGTTATAGCAGGGTAGATACTAGAAAAAATATAACCAAACTCATTAGCCACTTGACATTAATTTTGAATATGCTCCCTAAAGAAAAAAGGGAAACTGCTTTCGTAGTGATTTTTTTTATAAAATTACATCTCTGTGGCTTTCAGTTATTCTCACAAAGTCTTCCATTTATCACGGTATATTTGTATTTCGAAGACTGATTCAAGAATTCAAATAGTATTTTATATATCTTTTTGTCGAAGAGCAATAAAGGATAAGTTTAATTTTATGCGTATATTTATAATGTCTTTTTCGCGGCTGTGAAAATTCGAAGATCTATTAATAAGTATTACCGTGTTAATTTCCTGCAATGACTTTATCGCGAGTCCAGAGTGGGGCTCGGGCGGCGAGTAGCTCACGTCGCCCTTTATATTGCAGTTACGTGACAGACCTTTGATAATAGTCACGCGTTTCCAGCCTGTAACCGAAATAACATTGCTATTAATAAATATAAAACTATTTCAATATTAAACTATTTCTAAACTATAACCTAATCTGCGAAACGATGTGTTTTCGCTTTTAGAAACAAAAGAACCTTCATAGCATGAGGCTATTATGATGGGCCTTTTACAACATTTGGGTATGTGCGTCCGTGACTGAAATGCATATATTGCAATGGTCTAAGGACTGAGTTATAAAGAATATCTTTCATATTAACAATAAAAAGTTTGTTTTTTTGTATATACCGAATTAATTGAAATTTTCCATCTTGGGTTTGTTCGGGTGCTGGCGAAGTAAATATGCCACAAAAACATTTTCTCTGAATGGAATGTCACTAACCAAAAGACGGTGTAGTGCTCTTAAACATCGAACTGTTTCCATGGATAATATTCCAAATGATAAAGCAACAGTCACAATTTTTGTTAATCTAAACCCGACATCTATTTATTTAAACTCGTATTTTAGAGTGAGACGGCGCTATGGCGCGATCGTGCGTGCGAAGAGTGCATACCGAGCGCTAGAGGCAGTCGCAGCTGCGCGTCGTGGCGGCGTCCCGGGTCGCTGGCGTCTGAATCTGAGGGGCCGCTGTCAGACGGGCACTCGGAATCTGTGCTCGCGCTTTCTCCGAGCAGCGTTCGTAGTTTCTCCTGCGGAAGAAACATGCGTATGAAGTCACCATACCACATCACCCACTCCCACCATATGTCTCCAGCTATCTCTTGTCTCCTAGAAGGTGTAGCTGTCTATAGAAGTAATACTCCTCCGTAGAAGTTTAATGTGTTTAATTACAACGCGTTGGTGTCATTGATAAGACTAGTGTTTAGTAAGGGACGAATTCATCATTCAGGAAATATGGATAATAAGTATATTGAATATTGGCCATGTTACAATTAAGTGTTGTGTTTGGGCCAATTTTTATAGCACTTATTGAAACTACTGATGTACTGATATACGCAATTGTTGTACATCCGAAGACCAGTGATCGTAAGCGGTCAATGACCCCAGGGCCTTGCGTACGCAGAGATATCAATCAATCAGCCTTTTGCAGTCAACTGCTGGACATAGGGCACAGTGCACGGTCTATCTTCATCCAGCCTCTACCAGCGACCTTTCACAGCTCATCGGGGGCGAACAGAAGAGGGTGCTCGCGCCCGTTGCTATGGCAACGGCCGGGTCGAGCCACGCACCAGATCCGTCTGGACATACGCCTCCCCAAGGGCACAGTGCACGGTCTATCCTCATCCAGCCACTACCAGCGACCTTTCTCAGGTCATCGGGAGAGATTTGAAGAGAAGAGAGGAGGGTTACTCGGTCCCGTTTCTACGGCAACGGCCGGGCCGGGCCACGCACCAGGTCCGTCTCGGCGAGCAGCTGGTGCGCGAGCGCGGGCCGCAGCCCCAGCGCCCTGCTCTGCGCGAGCAGCGAGGCCACCGTGTTCTTCTTGGGCTTGCTCACGCCGCGGCCCAGGTTGCGCGGACGGCCCTCGCGGCTCGGCCACCCCGTCACCGCTGAAACACGTAACGGCTCGTTTTGGTATAGGCGACATCTCTAGTTTTATATATTCTTTGGTTCTCCAAATATTTTCATGAAATACGTCGTTAGTTTTTAAATTAGTCATTGTGAAAATGTCATTAAAATTTATAGAAAAAATTGGACAAAAAGACATTGCTTGAAGTACAATAGAAACAAAACATATGACACGTCGAGATTTTCGCGTCGTAATGACGAGTGTGTGACAGTGGCGAAAATGTTTAATGATAGTTTTATCGATGCATTTTAAAGTTCATCTCAACTTAAAATTTTAAGATTTTTATTTATTTTGATACACACCCATAGTACAATACCCTTGTTATATTTATAAAGCTTGTTATCGTTATATATTTATTACTATTATACAATTAATTAACATTCAGATAATATATTAGAACTCACTAAAATGTAAGCATTTAACAGTTTTTATCAAGTGCTGTCTCATTTGAAAATATTCTTTTTTCATTATCATCATCATGAAAACACTAACAAAGTTTACGCTTATGACATCGTTACCTTGCCAGACGTTTCGAAAGATATTTCCCGATGGATAAATAAAGCGAGAAAAAGAGAAATACAGTAAAAAGGAACATAAAGATGATATACATTCACTGTCTTCACTTCCGCTGGATTTAGGTCGTGGCGAGTCAGCCACCTGAGAATTTAATTCCGGAGCCACTCGCCTCGGCTTGGCACCCGGTTTGCGACGTGCTGCCAAAACAAATACTATTTAGTACTGAACACTGCTTAAAAAATTATATTGCTATTGAAACGGCCGAGCAGCATTATTATGATCATTGTATTCAAATCTTATAAAATCGATTAATAATATTATATTTCTTATGAAATTGGAAAAAAAAAAGTGTGCCCTGAACAAAATGTATTTAGACTTTGTCATTTGATCAAGCCATACATATTACATAATATCATTGGCAGGCACCCTCCGGGGAAGTATCACATCGTAATAGAAGGCCAATGTGAAGTGGAAGTATTATTCTTTAGCATTTCGTCTGCTGAGTGAGGTAATAGGAGTTTACTTTTTTTCATGTTGTACTCATTTGCAATCCGTCCCATGTTGTAGATGTCCATAGGTGGCAGTAATCAGCTAACATCAGGTGAACCGTATGCTCGCTTGTCAACTTTAAACATGAAACAAAAATCGGCAAAAGTACTTACATATTCTGTCGTTATTTGTAGAGGCGTTTAGAGAGCTGCTAAAAGAGGTCAAACGGGACAACGCGTCCAGCGCCTGCTTGCTGCTTGCTATATAAGAATATGTACAAATTAATTTTAAATGTCACAAATAATTGCTAAGAGATAGTGTTAAATGGAACAGGCAAAAATTATATCGGCCCTTATATCTTTTTGATTGTTTGAAATTGCCGTTGTCGTATAGGTTTAGCAATTGGCAAGAAAGATTTATATTCTTAAAGTAATTTTGTTATTACTATTATTAAAGTAATATAACGAGGTTTTCAAAAGTTTGGAGGAAACTTTATAATCAGAATCCCATCCAGTCTCGATTGAAATATCGCTATTGTTGAAATTGAAAATCTTATCAATTGAAATGCATCATACAATTATGTAGCTTTTATGATTTACTAATGATGTATTTATAATAAACAAATAAAAATGACACTAACGGGGTGCCGGCTTCAGTGAGAGATTAAGTGGGGCGTCTTCGTCGGCGGCAGCTTTCATCCCGAGGTCCAGAGGTGCGTCTTCAGACGCGGCCTTCGTGCTCAGGTTCAAGCCAGAATCCCCTAAACGGATTGGTTTAGGTTTAAGACATTTATTTTCTCAAAAGATTTACAACAAATCACTTACAGAGAAAATAAAAACACCATAGTATGTACAACAAAAAATTTCCGACCTGTCGAAGCTAGTGGACTATGTATTTGTTTTACCTTAACATTTAATTCGTCTAAATTACAAAATTTTACAAGCAACTAAAAATAAATATGTCACATATGTATATACACTTTTTACTTTATTGTACACAAGACAATTATTTGTGTGACCGATAGACAATTGTTTCAGTTCCGATATATTTGGGTTGCCTAAACCAGGGTTTCTCAAAACGAGGGTTCACCATTCGGCGGTATGATTCGCGACAAGATTTTCTGAATCGTGGCAACATACTCATGTGATTGGCTTTTTACACCGGCTCATGTTAAAAACGCAAATAAATAAATTAAAATTAAATAAATAAATAAAAATAACAAATAAATAAATATTTCTTTTACACAATGTTCTCTAGTCCCGAAATAAGCAACGCTTGCACTAATATTGTAAACTGATGAACATACTTAAACATACATATTATAAATATGTAAACACCTAGATACTGGAAAATCACTATTTGTTCTAATTTAAAACTAATTTGTTCGTCACACAATATTTTTCCGGTAATGGGGATCGAACCCACTCTCTCTGGCGCAAGAGGCAGGGCCACTACCAACTGGGCCAATCCGATCACCAGGTCTAGATGAAAACGTTATATGGAAAGACTCGATGCCGAATCGGAATGAAGGTAAATATTACTCGGGTTAAATTTTGAGCGAGCACAAAAGTTGTGACGGACCCGAGCCAGAATTGAGGTTAAAAAACAGGGTCGCTAGTTTCACATAAAATAACCATTTTTTTTACTAACGAAAAACGAAACCGACTTCAAATATCTCGCTCTACATTCATTTTATAATTGACTTTCAGAACTTACAATACAAATGATAGTTTCATTTGGGACCACATGGGAAGCGCCAGCTTTCAAATAAAAAATGAATCATCAAAATCGGTTCGCTCGGTCGAAAGCTCGGGACTTACGTAAAAAATAAACTCCGCGCGGAAGAAGTGAAACTTCGAGTGCCTCGCATTCGCTCTCGCTCTGTCTCCTTCTCCCCTCCCCAGGAGCGTTGAATGTTTAACGCAACAGTGCTTTCATACCCCCTCCTCGGTGGCGTTAGACGTTTAACACAACCAAGTCGCATCAGAAGTTTCACTTCAAAAGCGACCTTGGATGACACACCATAGTTAAACGCACGCATGAACACATGCGCGGCCCTACCCACAGCGGAGGGACCAAACGAGGGTTCCGGCTAGCCTAGCCGACCGGTCCTGCGTAAGATGAAGCTTTAACAGTCTCGGGACTGAAAGCAAAAACATCAGTTAATACGAGATACTCGAAAAGCGCAAAGGCGGCCTCCCCGGGAGCGTTGAACGTTTAACGCAACAGCGCTTTCACGGTGGCGTTAGGCGTTTAACGCAAATTAACGTTGTCGGAAGTCGCATTAGTAGGGGTCGAAGAGCGACCGACCCGCGGGCTGCGCGCCTTGCAGCTGGCGCTCGAGCGCGGCGAGGCTGAGGCCGCTCTGGCTGGCGATGGTCTGCAGCAGCTCGCGCGAGATGCCCGCGTAGTCGGCCAGGTTGGGCGGCGGCGTGCCGGCCGGCGGGCCGCCGCGCTCCGCCTTGCCCGGCAGCCGGATCACCTCCACGGACGACCGCGCCCCGTACTCCTCCTGCGTGGTGGGCGCCCGTTAGTGTCGCTTCCCGTGCGGCGAGAGACCATCCGTGTGACCCATAGATGTGGCTTTCTCCACGTGAAATATGTGTGTGTGGAACACTCGCAACACAGGATAATGTTATCCTACACTTGATTCAAATATCTTTATTGCACTTACTTATTGATTGTCAAAATTCTGCTTCTACCGGTTCGGAGCAGAAAAGCCACTGAGAAGGACTACTTTGCAACTTAATATCTAACCCCTTCGACACAAATCAAGGGATCTGATCCACAATGCTCCCAGTTAACGATCAACGCATTTGACAACGCAGTCGCGGTGCGCTTTTCCGATCGCAATTCTTTAACGAAGCGAACTTTTGACAACTTGTCTGAACAATATGGATAGTGTAGCCTATTAATGTAACAAATAGCCGAGCAGGCTTTTAAACTTGTCACCTTACCTATTAAACGAAATATAAACTAAACGTTATACGAGAGAATCTGTCCGTAACATGAATGACGTCCTAGGCTTTATTGCCTTTAGTGCTATTCAATGCTTCGTAAATAGGGTGGTCAATTCCAATCTTAGTAATTACGCATATTAATTAATCGGTTCTAAAACTAGTTGACACTGTACTAATTACACGTCAATACAGTTCATAAGTGAATGTATAATGTTCATGTCATAATTTCAATGCGAGTTTCTTTCAATATTGGCTTAATTAAGGCAAAATAGACTTTAACTTTGAGCTATTGCCTTTACCAACCGAGTCTACATCACAAGTTGACATCGGATTTTCACTGTGGTAAAGCCCTATTCAACTTCCGAATGGACAGAAATGTCTGGGGAAGTACGACGTACACACAAAAAACCGGCGTGGTGTGGAAGTATTACTCTTGCGTTTCGACGGATGACTGAGGTACCCAACAAGAATACTACTGATTTTTTAAGGTTTGTAACGCGTATGCTACCCGACAGGTATTATAGATATCGTGGGTGGCGTGTCACCACTTGGTATCAGATGAATCACTTGCTCTCTACTACTCATCACATAAAAGTTAGTATGGTGGTCAAGCTACTTTGCTGGAACGGAATTTATCTTAAAAAACTAAAGGCAAGCGAACGTATCTCTTTTTTTTTACAAACCAAGAAAAGATATTCCAATAAGTAGAATAACAGTACACTGCTCATTAATGCCTGTCTAGAAATCCCGGAATCTGGAAGCCACGAGATTAATATTTTCATATTTATAATTAATAATTATAGCCCCGTGTCTGGGCGTTCACTTTTAATTCAACCTCGAGCAACCTGAGTCCATCCAGGTGCCGAGCACCAGTGAAATTCTTAATTTTGAGTGCTGTATTATCAAGTGCTCAGCAGTTAAGAAAAACATCGTGAGGAAACCAACATATTTTCTAAGTAATAACAAAAAGAAATATTTAGAAGATATGTGAAGTCAATCCGCGGTGTGGACGCGTGGTGGACGCTAATATCGCTAATACGCTTGTGAAGGTTGTTACTTTTTAATTAATAATTTAATAATTAAGGTGGAATAGTTAGTTTCTCTGACCACTTTAGCCCGCTTGCTGGGTAGCGGAGTCGCCCTATCGCTGGCGGATGGGTGAACCGAGACTTGGGGCGGGTCCAGCGATATCGTCTTCTTGCGACCCCTGTTCGTCGTCCCGGGTGGCACCTGCAAATAATTCGAAGGTAGAAGAAACTGCAGGAAATCATTCTTCAAAATTCATCGTTTAAAACCGTCCTCTGTACAGAAGTAAAGAGAACACTTTAAAAAATTAAAGAACAGCTTGAACAAGCTTTTCTTACCTTAGGCCCGGCCAATGACGAGGTGTATTTGATGATTTCCGTGTCGGGAGGTAGACGGACGCCCCCGAGCACTGACGCCGGATCACTAAATAATTAAAAATAACTAATTAGTTAACACTAATAGCGAACTGCAATATTTGGGAGACTTCGCCTGGTTTCTGAAACACTGATCATCGTAAAGTTAAATAATCAGCTCTCAAATGGCTTTTCAAATGTTATTTGATTTGTCAAAAGGATTGATTAATCTCTCTGAATTGATCAGAATGGTCTTCTTAATGATCAGAATTATTAATTCTAAGAGTTTAACAATCCTTTTGACAGCTGATTAGTTGACTTCTACTATGATCAGTGTTTCAGAAACCGGGCGTTTTGAAATGTTCTCGGTGAATAATTCTATTTGATGTGTATCAATTTTATTTATGTACATTATATTAGCAATGAAATCAATTAATGAAAAATATGTGTTTAGAAGTTTAAGTCACTATTTAGTTTTTGGTAATACTTGAAACTCACCCCCCTTCCAAAGCGGCACTGGAGAGAAATTACAAAATTAGTAACAGTAACATGTTACTACGTAGATCATTAGCGAGTCTATATAAGCTCTTGGAGTCTTCGCATAAATAAATTTAATAATAAAATAGTTCAGCGCTAAGTGATATCTCAGAGTGTCATCAATAAACTATAAACAAGTAACTAGATCTCATTTACCTGAGTATGGTGTGCGGAAGACCGGTAAGGGAGTCGATGCCCGCGTGCCTATCCTTCTCAGAGCCCGGCATTCCAAAAGGATACAGCGGTGACATGTTCTATACAGAAAAAAAAATTAAAAAAATATAATAAAATATGGTACTTCATATATAGATTTATACAATTCGAAATAATGTCTTATACCAATATTTTAAATACTAATTCTTAAAACATAAAACAGCCTTGTGGTAGTGTAGTGGAAGTAGAACACCACTGGTTAAATTTGTTGTTATTTGTCATAATGGCGGCGAGCTTTGCGGTTCTGGCGTCTGTTGCGGTCGGTTTTTTTTTTGGCTTATTAGATCTGCTTAACAGAATACAATCTAGCATGAAAAATAAATATAGTAACACAGAAAAATAACGATTGCAGTATATACTATAGCAAACACAGCTTACATATTCGATGTGTATGCAAAGGTTTACCTAGTCATGAAACGAGTAAAATTTTAAATTTGTTAAAACTAGATAAACATTAAATTTAAATAACTAAAAATAAAATTAAATGGAAGTGCAAGACCAGGAAGGCAGGCCCACCATCAGATGGGAATAATCTGTGCACAGGAGAAGGAGACGGGAGAGGTAGAGAGGGAGAGGGATAGAGGGAGAGGGAGAGGGGAGAGGGAGAGAGGGAGAGGGAGAGAGGGAGAGGGAGAGAGGGAGAGGGAGAGGGAGAGGGAGAGAGGGAGAGGGAGAGAGGGAGAGAGGGAGAGAGGGAGAGAGGGAGAGAGGGAGAGAGGGAGAGAGGGAGAGAGAAGTAAAATAACTTAGCCGTGGTGGAACGGCATGAGCTCACCTTGCCCTTGGTGGCAGCGGCAACAGCCGCGTGGTAGGCGCCGTGTGCCGCCGCCTGGGCCAGCATCAAATCGCCCCTCAGGAGCGCCAGGTCTCGATCCTTGCTTTTACCAGACCCGGAAGAGCTCTTCCCTGTGCAAACGGCACTTCATTAGAAATAAGTGGGATACCGAATGTCTGTTAGTGCGTTATGAGTACAAAAATATTATGAAATCCCTAAAAGAAAAATCAGGCATTTCTTTTAGAATAGAAGCAAGAAAGCAAGTTTAATTTGATTTAACTATATAACACTAGGGTAATTGAAAATACTTAACTGCTAAGTTATGTCTTTTTGTCTGTCTAACCACTGTATAACTTTAATATTAGAGCCAATGAAAAATGAAGTTACGAAACCACTTTGTACTAGCGCTACTTCGACTATGGGGCATGGTAATTGTTATGACTCATATAACTTTTGCGTCAAAGTATATTCACAAGAAAAAACATTACTACGTACATAGTTTTAATTTTGTATTAATTAAGCTTATTTAACATTTTGTAATTACTGTAATTACATAGGGCAGACAATTATGTAATATAAATGCATTACATTATACGACGGCATCACATATGTTTTACACTTATTATGAATTATGACGCAAACTAATGAATTCTCAGAAGAAAAATCTTGGTATCGCTTAATTAATATTATCAACGTTCGCTCGTTTTCTTGAAAGCGTTGGACGGTAGGAATATTTAATTTAATTACAATTACGCGTGTAAATGCCTTTATTCTGGTTTTTCCTTAAACAACTGGAATTGTCCTCAATGAGATTGTGAAATATTTCATTAATGTTATGGATTAGGTTAATGCCTCATTAAAGGATAATATATCTTATCATTATTCCTTACACATATTACAAACACATTACATACAACACTTATTCAATTGTAAACGATATCAAACACTGTTATTTATCTTGATGCATGGACTAAATAAAGTAGAAAAAGAAGAATTCAGATGTGGCGTATAAATTTGTATCAACAAATTTGTTTTTTAAAAAAATGGGCAACGTTAAACATAAATAATATTATAAGATTTATCTTATATTTATATTGATGTATTTTATAATTAAAGTGTTATCATTAATATTATAATAGCCTAAACACACAAACGGTTATTTTAATAAATTTTTTTATTTAGCTATGATACATTTTTAATGTTTTCTGGGATTTTGTTTTAAGTATACATTGTCCCATAAAAGATTTACTTATTCTACTTAGTCTACTAAAACTTCTCATATAAAAAGACTTTATTAAAGTTTCTAGTGAAATCCATCAGCGTTACTATACTTACTAGACGACGAAGACGCAGATGAAGGTTTGCTCGAGGACTTGGACTGGTGCGGTGCCGACACCAAGCTGTTGAGGGATGCCAGGCTGGAGAGCGAAGCTTGGGAGTGCATCGTTGACGGGGATGAGGTCTTCGGAAAGCCGTACGATGTTCCTGTAACGCAAATTCAAGTTATACAGCTAATTGCCAATCATCATAAAAAAAATATAAAAATACAGTCCATAATTTAAAATTAAATTCGAACAAACGAATAAAACAAAAAAGGACATTAGTAACGTCCCATACAACTACAACTGAGTGATTCATACAAATGTATGACGTTGTGGCGACGAATGGTAGTCTCTCAATAGAGACTATCATTCGTTGCCAAAACGTCGCATTACAAGCCTCTCCTTCTAACAGTATGTTTTATCTCTTTTAAATTCATTCAACCAATTCACATGCTTTGTAACCATTAGAAATGTACTTTACGTTACATTTTTATGCGTACGGCTGTTATAAAATTATTTGTTTTGGAATTCTGTGAATGTTGATGTTTAATGAAAGTAAATGTGTAATACTCGCTCACTCTATACATCTTTCTCTTTCGCTCAACGTTTCTCGTTTTCGTCTCCGTTTCTCTGCATTTTACCATCGTTCCCAAATATATTCATTTAAGTACACACATAAACAATAATGTTGTATTTGTAATACAGCTTTTTTTACGTGAGAAGGTGGCAAACGAGCTGGCGGTTCACCTGACGTCAAGCGAGCTAACTGCGGCCCGTGAACATTTGCAACAACCGTAGGGTTGCAGATGCGTTGCCACCTCATAATAAATTTGACCCACTATAGCGTGGCTAACTCACTAACGAAACGAGACGAAACGCAGAAGGATAACACTTCCACTTCACGAGTCTTCTCTGAGGTGGTATTTCTATAGTATATTTATATAGTGGCCCAACCAATTCGTGCAACGGCGAAGAAGAGCGTGGCCCTACCGCAGTTTACTTGACCGTGACACAGTTAAAAGTCGAATCTCATGTAACTTCGCCGGCCGTCTTTATAAAAAAGCTTAGCCCAGACCCAATAACATTACAACGGGATACGTGCCCCACTCACTCATGCTCGGCTGAGAGTTGGCGCCGCTCGTGGAGGGACTCTTCTCTTTCATCGAAGCACTCGAGTTGCCGCTACTGCGACCGGATCTACTGTGGACAGAAAAAAAATAGAAATAGAAACGATCTTTAAATGTTTTGGCCCGCCATAGTTCGACTTCCTGAAAGCAGGTTCTATATGAAAATTCATTTGGCCTAATAGCTATTTTCAACAATTTGAATGTTTTTTTTTGTTTGTAAAACATTTTTTTTATTAACGAATAATAAAACCGACTTCAAATATCTCGCTCTTTATTCATTCTATACATAATTGATTTTCAGGACTTCCCTAAGTATCTCCGGAGCCAATAGGATTCAATACCAATGAAATTAATATGGGACCACATGGGAAGCACGAAAAAAAATAGAGGCGAATTGAAAACCTCCTCCGTTTTTGAAGTCGGTTGAAAAATGGACTTTAGTAGGAACTTTAGTAGGACTTTATTAGGAACTAGTAATAGTAATTTATACAAATAAGCATTATTCGTTTAATACCTACGTTTTCAGAAAATTAGATGTATAGATAGGTTGGGATTGGATACATAAATAGGTTTAATAGGTAAACGCATATCAGAACTACTATTATATTTCACCTATTAAAATTACGTTCTCGCCAAAATTATTCGATCAAATAGATTTACGAACCATGCATTTGCTATGTTATTCCTAAGATATTAATTGCAACAGAATACAACAGAACAGATGTGAAATATTAATCGTTTACGTCAATCTACACCAAAGAAGTGACGTCATTCTATAATGTCTACTTTGTATGCGGTGTGCTTGCATTCCTAACGAAGATTAACGACGTTATGTTACTTATGTAATGTATTTCTATTATATAACATTTCAGTATTTATTTCTATCATACGCGTTCTATTATATAGTACCTAGTATAAACCATAATTTAAAAAAGTTTAATAGGTAATTTACTGGTATGAAATTTTTTTAAAACTTATCGTCAAATCATTATGCATGTGTAACAAGCATTTTGATACGAACTTCTCTTTAGATATACAAACTTACTTGAAAAACACATAACATTGCATGTTTTTGTTTCATTTCGATTAGTGTGTTCTGTTAGGACCAACAATTGGACATTCAAACTTCTCTCCCTTGCCCTTGCAATGAAATAATCGACGCTACAAGGTGGCTTGCTGATGAAGTGGTGAATTAAAGTTGTTACCGCGGAGATTCTCAGAAATGTTAATCGATCTCTTTATGGAAGTAATTTCCTCATCATCATCAGCCACAAGACGTCCACTGTTGAGCATAGGCCTCCCCTTAGAACGTCACAATGTACACTTTGTACACTTTGCCATTTGCATACACCGGTTGCCCGCGACTCCTACGATGTAGTCGGTCCATCTAGAGGGAGACCTTCACATCGCTCGAAGAACTGATGACCGATGGGGAGTAAAAGTTCTCGAGTGGCGACGACGAATCGGACGACGTAGCGTTGGATGTAATTTACCGGCATGTAATTATTCTTCGAGGAGATTTGATCTGGGCGTACCTCTCACTTCGCATGGGCTGCTTCTGGTGTTTTGGCTGCTGTTTCATGCCTCCACCGGCGCCGGATAAAGCGGAGAGAGCGGAGTAAGGGTCCCCCAACGGGGGGAAATTGAGGCCGGACGCCTGCAGTCGAGCTAGATAGTCCTGCGCGGCTAGGTGTGACGCCATCGACCACCATGCTGCACCTGCGAAATAACTCTACTGTAATTTGTTTCATCGTCGGCTGGAAGACGTCCAAAGTCGAACAAAGGCCTCCTTACAAAGAGCAAGAACAAAGTTTCAGCATGTCTAAATATTATAAATATAGTTAGTAATATTAATTGACGTGGGCTCGATTTCCACACGAGAAATAATTGTGTGACCTACATATAATTGTTTCAGATTTGGGTGTCCACGTGAAATTTTTCCACGTGTAATGTATAGGTAATAATGTAAAATGTCCTTACAACATACGATAATATTATCAAACAGTAAGGGAAATGTTCATATAAAAAAAAAACATTACTACGTAAATGCTGTCATTAAAGTAAGGATGAATTTTCAAGGAATAGTAATGTGCATGATATAAATACTAGGAACAAACAAATTAGTTCTACCTACAACTAGACTGCGTAGAATAATATCTTATAGTACCTCAATCTTTTATGGGACAACAAAATACCAGAAAACTGAACGTTTTCTGGATGTATAAATTGCTAGATTAGAAAAAAAGGAGAAGAACGTATAGTAGGTGTTAAGGGCTCCACATTAATGAGTTCTTAGTTTAGTTTTTGTTTGTTCTGCTGAGTTTCTTCTCAGGTTTCCGAAATTTTCCGAACCGTTAGCATTATCTTGACAGTCAATAAGTGAGTGAAGGCATTTGAACTTGAATTGATAATGACGCTTACTGGCAGCGGGGTGGAGGCCGAGCGAGGCCGCCTGGTTGGCTGCGACGCCGAGGGTAGTCGGCGGTGGGTAGCGCGAGCCGAAGCCGAAGAGCGCCGCCTGCGCCTGCGCCTGGGCCTGCGCCTGGGCCTGGGCCTGGGCCGCGGCGCCCCCGCCAGACCCGTCGCGGCCCCAGTACGCTGCAAATTAAAACAACACTCACTCGTTACCTCCACGCTCGAACACTCGGGTATATTTGTCTTTTAAAGCGCTCAACAAACTCGCAAAATATGTGGCACTAATGATAATCTTATCTTTTACTGGCGCATTTATTTGAGTGATGAGACCGTCTATATCCGTGATACAAGAAAATATTGCTTCAGTCAAAGAAAGAGCAGAAGAGTTGTAAAAGATTTATTTTAGTAAGATTTATGACTCCGTGGCGCACTGGCCAAAGTATTGGCTTCGGCGTCGGGGTTCGATTCCTACACGGGACAACTATTTTGTGTGACCCACAGATAGTTGTTTCGCATCTGGGTGTTTGTCCGCGTGAAATGTGTTTGTAAAACGTCCTAACAACACAGGGTTATCCTAAAATAAGGGCAATGTTTAAAAAAAAATTAAAAAAAAAACCTTTCTGTGTTATCGTTATTTATTATATAAATGAAATGTGATAATTGTACTTCGTGCATTATAGCTATATTAAGTGCATTCAGCGGACTGCTATATGAAAAATTTGTAACACGGATAAATGAGGTAAATTTCATAGAACCATTCTTCGCATGGCGCAAACTATAAAAAAAACAATGAACTAACTCAGTTAACAATATCAATTTCATATTTTAATAGGTCTTAAAATATTATGTCATACTATTATGTCAGCATATTTCAGTGGAAATCGTTCTGCGCTTTTAATAAAATATATAAACTGTACGTTATTTATAGAAGTATGGGTTAATTCTATTAAACTACATATTTTGTTAATACGTTATGATATACTTTAAACCTGGAACGCAACTGAAGCTTTATTAATAGCGGTTTCCCGCAGACTTGGATCTATTTAAGTCACGAATATAAATAGAAAAATGCCCAATAATTCACGTGGAACGCTGTGAGCAAAATTAGCACAGCGTAATCAATCGATTCTGTCACTTAACACGAAGTGATAGGAGTCATTGGTAACGTTAAAGCATAAGATGTCTGGAAAACGCTTGGTGCAAGGTCGGTGACCTCGCTTGAGTTGACTTATATGGTGCCATGGTATTATACGACATGAGTGTCGAACGACAGTAAGATGTGAGACTTTTTCCAATAAAGTCGCGTTAAAGCGTCACACACGCCTTCTGGCCGTTGAGCGGTCACTATGAAATTTAAACAGATCAAAAATGTATTTTAGCATGAGTTTTGTAGTGAGTACGTTAAAATATATCATTTAAGGCTCGCTCGCATGATTTAAATTTACAACGTAAACAGAGATAGTTAGTGGTTGCTTTTTCTATTTAATAAAATAATTCCAGAATATTAGGCGATAAATCGTTTGAATTCATGGCACAGATGATGCGGTGGGAAAATTATGTTTGTAAGACGTCCATACAACACAGGATAATATTATCCTAGTAAGGGTAATGTTTTTTAAAAAAACAAAAAAAAAACTTTACTTTTTACAGCTGCTTTTTTTACTTGTGCATCATCTAAGAAAAGAATGCCCGAATGGTATTTATGGCGTTTTATTTTTTTTTTTAATTAGTTTTTATTATAATTAAAGAATTTCTATCTTGCTAATAATTAAATAATCAAGTAAATGAATGAATACTGTACCATATCATTACATGTTAAAATTTTATTAAATATATTTACGTTGTGTCCTTAAAAGAATAGCATCAAAATACCTATATTACGCCCAATTATTTGTAAGCCTAATCTTAGAGACCCATGCCCAAAAATTAATAAAGTAATAGATAACAGAAATGTTATGTAATAAAATTGTACTAAACGTGTCATTATAGAACTTTCCATGTCCATAACCGTTTTCCAATTGTCCAAGTCTATCTACCTAGAATCTATCTATCTCATTTTTCAAAAGTTGTCGATGATTCTCAACTAGCTACCCTACCCGGCTTCGCATGGGTGAAATGATTAATAATATTATGATTAGTCTGTACTACAGGATATAGATATAGAACAAACATTTATTTAAGATATACAATCCCGTATTACATTAATTTCATCTATCTATTAAGGTTTAGCCAGCGTTTACAATGTAAGGGCACAAAAAATCACATGACAAGTCTTTAAAATTCTCGTTTAGGTTTTTGCAATATGCATGTATACTAATAATATAAACATGTATAAACCTACCTCTTGAATCGGTTTATCTATTGCTCAAAACTGCATTAAAATCCTTTGCTTAGTTTAAAAGATCTAAGCGTACAAACAGCGGGAGCGACTTTGTTTTAGCGAACCTGACAGACTTTGTCCTGTACATGTCCTAAATACTAAAATTTTTAAAATTTTGAATAAGTTTGTGGATCTAAACCATTCTCGAATACACCGGAAGACACACAAAAAATTTCATTAAATTCGGTCCAGCCGTTTAGGACTTCAGTGAAATACACACGTACAGAAGAATTATATATATATAAAGATTAAGCTCACACAGTTTCGATGACGATGATGACGTCCCATCAGGTGGACCTAGCGCACGTATGTTTTAATAAAAACTGGCTATTCGCCCGCGGCTTCGCTCGCGTTGAAGCACTTAAATAAATATCTTACAACCCTTTACAACGCTTTTTTTCAATTAAAAAAATATGTCCTTTCTCAGGCTCTAAACTGTCTGTGTACCAAATTTCATTTAAATAGGTTCAGTAGTTTTTGTGTGAAAGCGAGACAGACAGAAGTTACTTTCGCATTTATAATATTAGTATGGATATGCCATCCTCATAATGTGCTCACCTCCGAATAGACCAGCGGCGTCCAGCAAACCGTCGGGCGGCGGCTTGCCGGCCGCATCGCCACCCTCACCGTTCTCCTTATCCATGCCACGCCTGGAACAAGTGACGAAAAAGTGAAGTAATAGTAGTACATGTCTATGACATGAGACAAGAGCCTTCTTAGGAAATTTCGGCATAATTTGCGCAGTCTCATCAAGTAACGGGCATATTTATGTTACTCTGTATCGGACTTTACCCAGCACCGCTTAACCCTGAGTGCATAATCCGCCGACTCCATTGCGGGTCATGGGACTACAACATTTTTAGATATTACTCTGATAGTAAAACAACACTTAAAATTGCACTTAACATTACATCAGTATCAGCACATAAACGAGGTGCTATTTCAAAAGAAATTTCCAATTGTTCTATTTTTAACAAAATCACAATATTACAAGATTAAAATTGACTTAAAAATATTGCATCGTACAAAGTATACAAAGAAACTTTGCAGTGTCAATTACACCAAAGAACAAGCTTATAAATTGGCTTACGTTACGACCCACAGCAGGTTGGCTGAGGTGCAATTGACTTGTCATACAAATCCTCAATATAATATATAGCCTATCTCCGGAATAAATTGGTAGGGCTAAGCACGGATGCCAACTTAGGAGGATTTTTCCTAAATTTAGGAAGACAAAAATTTACAATGGAAGTTTTTTAGGTGGTAAATTCAAACCAAAACTAAATGTTTCTCATTTAGGAAGTTTTGGTTAAAACTTAGTGAATTGTAGTGGATTTTGGTGGGTTTTTAAATTGCTTTAGGAGTATTTTTTTAAGCTTAAGTTAATAAAAGTGGGGCTACGCAGCAGTTTCAGCTGTTGCATGATCATGCTCATAATCATGATGACCAGGCTCGTCTGGTAAAATACCACGGCCTCACAAAAAACCGGCGTGAAATGAAACTCTTCTGGATTTCTTCTGGCGAATGAGGTAACCGCGGCCGACTTCTAAAAAATAGTATTTGCAATTCCAAAATTATGCAAAAGGATACCTTTATCACATATAATATATTACATATCTATATTACGAATACATTACATTACTACATTGCAAAAAAGACGTATAAATAATAAAATTGTAATAAAAAAACCCATCCCCTTTTTAAGCGAATATGGAGACTGCTTTATAAACTGACAACCGTAGTGTAAAAACGGTGGCCGAAACGTGCCGCAATAATTAAAAAGAGTGCCCTGGCGTTGTATTGTACTACAACCAAATATGAGCTTTGTATTTTCGGAAGTATCTATCCATCTTCCTAACTATTTAATGAATGTGAGCTTTTTTGACATATAGTAAAGTACCGAATATTAAACTGAGAAACACATACTAACACTTATGGCTCAAAGCTACCCTTCATGATTAACTTAGTTGCATCTGCAATGATGATACATTTTGTTTGTATTTGCAACACATGCAATATTTTAACCAATGCAGTAGGTATATTAATTTAATAAACAGCAAAATAGTGACAGAACTTTAATGAGGTATAACATTATATAAGCTCTCTCATATTAAAACAGAATGGCTATTGTTATCGACTCTTCACGAAGTTATTAAGTTATAGCTCGACCAGGAAAGTATCAACGCCACAAAAGAGGCCTTCGAGATGCATTTGCATCATCCACTAAATGATGAGTTTCTAAGTAGCTACCCCACTCTATGTGCAATACGCCTACAGCATTTTCGATGTCGTCAGTGTTCATAGGTATTAAAAGGTAAATGAAGATAATCGATACACGCCGCCGGAAATAGAAAGATTAATGTCTGAGATCACGATTAAGGGTTTTTTAACAAGCACGCCACCTAACTCTATATTCTATACCAATATTATAAAGAGGAAAGATTTGTATGTTTTTAACGAATAAACTGGACCGATTTAAAAAAAAAACCTTTCACCATAAACTACAATAATGCAGCCCAAGGTGTAAAAAATAAATGTCCACCCGAGCGAAACTGGGACGAGCCGCTAAAGAATTCAATCATTTTTAACTTGGGAGTTGTGAAAAACCAGTTACGCAAGTTATCAATATTTTATCGTTATCTGTTTAAATAAAAAAAAAAAAACTTGTACGCCCAATAAATGCCAAATAAATCATTCAACTTTCATGTTAAAGAGAGACGCTTCACATTTTAGAAATGTATAATGTCATATATTGGAAACTGATATAAAATCGAGTTAAGAAATATTACTAATTCCACGATGAAAATCTTACCACTGAGAATCTTAATTGGTGATAATTTTAATACACTACTTCCGCTTCATTGTACAATAACGGCCAGAGGTTTCTCTGCGGAAAACGGCGAAAAAATAACCTTGAAATATTTATATAATTTGCGCAAGAATCGTAACCGTTCAGAACTCGTCAAAAAATGATCAGAAATAACGAGTTATGGGAATAACTCCATCCTCACATTAGGTTATTTTTGTCCACTAGATGTGGTAAAGCATAAATTAGTTTGAACATAATTTAAGCCGTTTAATACAAGTGTAAATAGCGGGTTATCATTGAAAATTAAAATAAAAATTTCTTTAAAATTACTTACAGTAAATTAACTATACATAAATAAATTATTCCCTCAGTATGTCGAGTACATCATTGGGAAATAGTTTTCGTTTCAAATTCTCGAAGCTGTATAGCTGCCAATATTAACAATTATTGTTTTTCATATTTATCATATTTACTTCAGATTATTTCTACAAACTTTTGTACATGGTTATTCTAATGAGACAGATGGGAATTGTGAACATAAAACCTGATGAATCTATTAAAGACAAACTGAACTCCATGTTCACAAATACTTGTCTAAATAGAACTAGAATATAAAAGTTATTAAGATTATATGATCCACAGAATTGAAGGTATGAGTAATGAATAACAGCATGACTGTTATTAAGTAATAATAATGTATATTAGTAGTAATGGAATATTAACGGTAAATGGGTAAAACGTGAACTCGTAAACATACGCATTACATTAAATAAAACTAAATCAAAATACGAAGAGAAAACTCACATCACATCAACGGTCTGATTCGGAACATTAATCAATTAAACTAAAAAGAAGCCTGCTTCTTTAACTTTAAAACTCTCACATGCCTCCAACATTACTAAAGAAATTACAATGACTTATCTAATATGCTCCTACTAAAGATGCGTCATGTTTTCATTCGCAACGGCCTAAGAAAAACCACGTCTAATGGCCTGTAAGTCCTTATTAGGCTAACACAATACTTTCTACCCATTTCCGCCTAAAGCTGAGCGGTGCTAGCGCCGTCGCCGGTTCGACGACCCCGCATTGTCTCAACTCTTGGCCGAGCGGCGATCGGTCGTGTTTAACGAACTGTTAGACTTAGAAACTGGAGTTAAAACGCCGCAATGCGCCCGTGAGAACGACGGATGTCTATGCGACGTTCGGTTAGAGCCCGCTCTATCCGTGATCCATAGTTTTTTTACCTTGCATAGTTTTATTACCTACGAACTTGCAGCGAGACTGTTGAGCCTTTGAGTTTACTTTAATCTTTAAGCGATAATCATGAAGTGATCCGACATAATAAAACACTCAACTTTATGTTGTGCATTAGGACTTTATTTATTATTGCTTTCTTAAAAAATATTATCCTCTTAATGGATTTGTGACTATAAATGTTAACCCGAGTAAATTATATCAAAGAAACGGAACATAAGAAGTCATATTCAACTTTTATTAATAACACATCACTCAATTATGATTTCAATGTATTTAAACCATAAAACCCAGTATAGGCAAGGCTAGTAGGCAAGTATTAAATTATTCTAGATACCTTGTCTATGTGTCACTAAATGAATAAGAACGGGAAGAAAACACGTCGCCTTGTTGGTATTTAAGCCAAGCTTTATCCTTACTCATCATATTAAAGAACATCCAGTACGATTTTGTTTCCCATTTAGTGCAACTCAACTCAACTCTGTGTACAATAATTGTCGTAAAATAATAGCCAAGTTTTCGCTAATGGAAACTAGAAGAAGATTTAGCAAATATCACGCCTAAATTTGGTTAAGCTGTGTGAAAGATAACTGGAATTGTGCACAACTGTGTAATGAGCACTTCACTTTAACGGCCACTGATATAAGTAGATTGTTCTGGCATCAGACGTAATCTGTGGATAATCCCGGCGGCACGGACGAGGCGTCCTACGTTGCACAGCATTCTCGACGCTTTTATAAATTGCCGTACGGATAACACAACATTCTCACATAGGACATAGGAAATTGCATTTTTAATTTTAATCTGATAAATAGTTTTTAGTATGTAAACATTTTTGAACATTTACAAAGTCTTGACTAATCGCACGCTGTGTTCATACATATTTAAATAGGCATACACGAATATAAATAGCCCATATCATTATGGGCAATTAAAATTCTTTTAAGACGAAATACTACTACGATGAATACAAGATATTTTTACTTAATTCATTATAATACTTATTTAAAAATTATAGAAATTATTATTACACACCCATTATCTTTAAACATTTTATGTATCAGTGAATTAAAAAAATAGTAAACATTCAAATATTAAATACTTTTTTTATTTCGCATGCAGCAATGTTTCACGATTTGTTTCTTTTCTAGAAAAGCCAAACAGAAAAATATCAACACTTAATTCTTTTCATATAGTGCAGCAACGACTTCACAATGGATGTTTCAACTGCACGATCGCATACACGTAAAGCACGAGATAACAGTAAACGGGGCATCTAAGACGGCTGCATATTATTCATATTGTTTCGGTAGACTAGTGTGTCTTAATAGGTTTAGAATTCTATCGGCACACACATAAAAAGAATAGTTAGAAGCCAGAAGCGACCAAATGAATTTGGGAATAAAACGAATAGTATCTATTATCATCCTATTCGTGTCTTGAATTAATTTGATAAATATGATTAAATATGACCTCTTAATGTATTGCTTAACAGATGCTTTAATAACAATATTAAAGCATCTGTTGTTTTAATGCAATTTATTACTTTTATTTTTAACCCTTAATTTATTTGTGATGGTTCTATTTTTAGCAGTTCAAACCATTTTACAGGAGTGACAGGATACAAGTAATGGTTTGATTTTACATTTCTTAATTTATGAACTATTAATTTGCAGATTCTACTAACTGTTTATTAAAAATATTTCAATAAGTACCACGAATAAAATCCAGTTATCTTAAAATTCAAATAGAAATGTCAGTACTGTTGTTTCAAAAAGCAGTTAAGTGCAGTATACAAAAACAAATTACCCATTATCTAATAAGGGTTAAGAACCTCTATATTGACTGACTTGTGGCTTTTTGTGAATGTTTTGTTAAAACATTCACAAACAGGAAACTGAAAACCCTTTCAGCTTTATTTGGCATGAAGTTAGACAAAAGTTTCTATCACTAAACTATATGCATTTAGTTTTAAAGACATAGTTACATACATTACATGATGCATAACACACGATGACCGTTTCGACAATTACTTCTAGCATACGCACACTACAGGCCGGACCGATAGCGGCGATAATTTACGGCTCGTAGATAACGTCGATAGCGAGACGAAACGACTATATGTATAAGTGTTCCAGGTATGTGTTTAAATGTAAAATATTCGGTAACAGAGCATCGTCGACGTGCGTAACGGTAAGATTAACGTTATTCTAAATCACATCGCAAAATCCGCCGTAAGTCGTAACCGCTCGCTATCTGTCGTTGAACTAATACACCGTCGTACAGTTACGTCTCCAATTAGCATATAAGAATAATAAAGGTGCCTTGGGTGTTCGCTGGAAATGTTTATGGTGCTAAACGTGATTGATTACCAATCTTATTCATATTGTGCGAACGCGAAGTGTTATAGTTAAAATACTAAATTGATGTAATGACCATCTATGAGTAAAAATTCATAACACATAAGTGTTTTTTATAACGTGAATTGACGGATTATTCTTATTATTTTGATCCTGCTATTTTAATAGATACAGTACCTGCAGGAGCTGGACCTGGTTTTTTTCTGGTAAATCATGTATTTTGGAACTAAAAAAAATAATAAATAAAGAAAATGATCTGGTATAGAATAAAAGTAAAAAAAAAAAATAAGTGTGGAAATGATCGTGATACGAACCGCGGCCGTCTGTTTTGGGGCCGCCTGATAACCTACCGAGCTATTGTAACATTTTTTTTGCGGCAAAATTTACAGTCATATTCGAATGATATTTTTCATTCCCTGAAAACAGGGATAAAAGGACATTTTCTAAAAATGAAACCTAGCTAGATCGATTTTTCGCCCTCGAATCTACGCACATACTAAATTTCATGAAAATCGCTGGAGCCGTTTCTGAGATACCGATTATATAATATATATACAAGAATTGCTCGTTTAAAGGATAAGAATAATATATAAAGCACCTGTTATGTAACTATCAATTTAACAACGATCTTTCAATTTAATTTTCACCCATATCCACATTGGTCGAGTTTTGAACACACGTGTAAATTCTGTATGTATGACGGTACAATGATTTCATAATATCGACCTAGTGTTCACCCCAGGGTCGGCAACCCATTTTAAAAATTAGTCTACAAGCTACATTTGTAAGATAGCGAATATCGTTAGAATATATTTCATAAACATCAGCTGACAGACTCACATTTATGTTAGTCAGGCAAGGCTCTACCACCTGGGCCGTTTAGAATTAAATAAACTCAGTAAAAAGCCAAGTCATTGTAAACCTGTTTGTTCCAATCCTTGCCTCTTTTTCCTCGACTATAAGGCGAAATTGCTGAAGCTATTGATGACGAATAATAATTTTTTTCCACCATAGAGCTCGGTTCTAATTATTTAGTTCCTAACGCATAAACTTACCATGTAGGTACACTTTTTCTTTCTTAATTAACTTATTATACCAAATTCTATCAGTGTTTAACTATGCAATTCACTACCTATCAATAGAATTGCTTTATTATTGATGCAAAACAAAACGCTAGGTAGAAAGAAATTACCCGACGACCATCGTGTTTCGGCAACTAGATCACACCGTTTAACGCAGGGCCGTTGATCGATAGAGCAGTTTGTTTATTCCACATTCATCTAAGCGACGGAAACGCTTTATTTGCTTTGGACGAAAGCGATTAAATCAGTTTCTTTTGGATATATCGATTTTTTTATAACATCCAAGTACCGAGCAGTATCATCATGGAGTCTTGCACGCTAAGAATACAGCAGTGGTACAATACATTAGTAGGTTAAACGTTACAAAACCTAAAGTCAGTCATATCTTAAACCCTCAAACTAGAGTTATTTTACGATTTATTTAGAACTGAATAAAATGAGATAGATTACTAGATCTAAAAGTAATTTAACATACAAAATTCCTGACTAAACTTGCAAGAGCCATATATTTATAATCCCTTTGCTTTTCTTTATATAGACTTATGGACATGCCTCATTACTCCTCTCGCCCCCATGTAGTATATCAACGCTACAAAAACCACAGGTTAAGGAGTCCCGCTCTACTTCTTACATAAACCTTCATTAGGTGAGTTCGTTTGTTCTTCATTCTGAGCGTATAAGTATTAATACTATGACAATAGCATAGAAATTAATTCCTTTTTACTACGTATTTAGTGACCTGCTTTGGTGTATGCATGTTCGGGTCAAATCTTGTAATTCATTTTAAACCAAATTTTCGATTAAATTAATAATTGCAAGTAATAAGCAATATATATGAGACTTCCACCGATAATTGTCTCATCACGATATCTCTGGAACCATAACGAGTAGAGAGTTTAAATTTGGTAGGAATATTCCTTTCGCCGAGTAGAGGTCAGCTAAGAACAGATTTTACGAAATTCAACAATACAACGTTTGCCGGATCATTTTTTAAAACGAACAAAACAAGTATGAATTAGAAATTTAAATTGTTTATAGTGCTAATCTTTGCACTTAAGATTGAACATTAAAATATGTAGAAAAATTTTCTACATATTTTAAAGTATGAATTAATTATTTTTAATTAATTATATCATGAAACCTCATGGAGATTTAAACCTCATACATGTTCTGAACATTTGTATTTACTGATTTTAATAGCTATGAAAATACTTGTAAGATTTAAAGCAAAATTAGTCTCCAGTGTGCAGGTGAGAATGTATGCATTAATAGTTAAATTGGCAGGAACTGATGTAAGTTCTCTAAATGATCGCTACTTTCACTTCTTATACCGACGTCCCACATTTTTCCTTATAAGTTTTTCTAAGTAACGGAATTGATGATTCTTTCTAAGTAAAGGAATTGATGACAGATTGACGGATGTTACTAAAACAAGTAGAAGCATAGTTTATTAATAAAATCACAGTAGAAATAGTAGTGTACCATTCTAGAAAAAACCTTCAAATAGGCGTCCATAAATTAAAGAACGAATCAAACCATGCACAACTATGAAAGCGTTCCAAATGGACGATTTAAACATTTTCATAACAGTTTTTAAATTCTTTATCCCACGGTCTTTTGTAATAACACAATGGCCTTTAAAAGGCTAAGTCTTAGGATGACTTTTGTATTTTTACAGCATAAAAGTATAACAGATTAAGTAATCAAAATAATTCGCCGGTGCCGTAATCGATCAAGTGAACGTTACCATTAGGCATGAACCAAATTAAAAATTAAAAATGTTTTATTTTATATATTTTTGTGCAATATAAACACATAGTGACGAAGGCACTCTTAACCCGTTTCAGAGACCGTGCGACGATAACTTACAATTTTTAATTAGATATGTGGATCGTGGATAAAACCAACTCAACAGGATTACACAACTTTAGAAAATAAGAATCATTTCTTTATATCGAAGAGATAGACAGCCGTGGGCTAACCACACTTTAATGTCTTTGTGGTCCAAAACGAGATAGGTGGTATGCCCTGCATATATTTTGCACGTCAAAAGGAGGACCAACTAGTTTGCCTTTTAATAATGAACACACATATAGAGCAAGGTCGCCTGACCTTCACAAAGATTCAAGATACGTTACCATTGTTATACCTTGTGGAATGATGCTATAACTCTATTTCTCTCTGGTATTCTGTTAAGAGTTGTGATCCTTGTTGTGGCCAGAAATACGCTTCAGCGTGGCTCTTGTACCATTAATACCGCCACTACATTACAGATGCACCCAGGCCGTTGATTAATAAACAAGTTTACTTCATCAAATGTAAAATAGAAATTATTATTGCCAAAGGGATGCAACGTGTAAGTTTAAGAAGTGTTTATTACTCGAGAAATTTGCTCACCTTGAGTGGTAGCTATCATTCAGAAACGGAGGCACAATAGGCCGGTGATGTTCGCGCGACGCACATTGTTTCACTCCATGTCACAACACCCACTTCACTCACACTACACTAACGTCACTTAACACATGCTCGAGAATCCAGTATTCTGCAACAAAAGATTCATATATTAGTTAAAAATTATTTAATGTAGTAAGAAACTAATCACACTTAGACGACAAGAATTAAAAAGATTTTCTATTTTAAAGGCCCATTTACACGATACCATTTTCTTGTACATACAAGAGCAATAATTGAATGCAATAAATTGCGCGCAATAATTGTTAAGACCATTTGTTGTTTAGACCATGCAACTCATTTATTGCTTCAATTTAATTGTATACAACAGGCAAGAAACTGGCACCGTGTAAATGGGCCTTAATGTAAGAAGATGGCAAGCGAGCTGCCGGTCCACCCGATTTCAAGTGGTAAAATACAAATTTCCTTGAACATTCGCACCGTGACCCTACCAGAAATTTTATACCTAGCGACGAAGTTTCAATTATTCGGTTAAAGCAGATATTTTAATAGTACGCAAGAAAATAAAGCATTGGTAATTGATTAGAGGGAAGTATGCGTTCGAAAATTTTAAATTATCCGGAGGGACCAACAGATGATTGACGCTGTGAATGTAAAAGTTTTGGAACGGTGCCAATATTTACGAGATGCTAATAATATCGTGGTCTTAATGGTTTCGCCCGCGCATGACTAATAAACAAACGCTTGCATAGCAGTGACAGCCACTACGTAAAAGGAGGCCAATTTGTTGAAAAAAAAAAATATGTGATGTAGCGTTTAGTTAATCTGATGCCCAAGCAGGTAATAAGGAATGTGAAGTCTCGTGATCTTTTTTAACTTGGATATTAAAGTCAGGTCAAATATTGTTACAATGCACTAAATGAGGAGAAAGGGACCTTACCGTCAATATATTTTTTTTAAGTAAGATGGCGGGTGGCGGTTCACCTGATGTTAAGCGATAGCCGCCACCCAAGGACATTTGCTACACACGTAGGGTTGCAAATATGTGCCATCTTTCGAAAAAAGTGGGACCCGGTTACCTAACTCACCGAACGAAAAACAGATTTAAACATTTCTATTGCACGCCGGTCTTCTATGAGGTCGTGATACTTTCCCGGACTAAACTGCGCATTCGTACAACAGCGTCCCACGAAAGCTACTGCGGTCGGAACAGGCCATTGGGGGACCAGACCCGACCGCACTTCCGCCGCTGTGTCGAAGACGATGTCGTCCTCGCGTTACACATGTGTAACGCCGTACACCCGCAAGTGCCGCTACCGCGGTCAGGGGAAAGGGATGGCCGTTGGCCATCCTCACCACCGACCAGCCATTCGCTGGTCGAGATACCCGCCCGAGTAATGGGGACATGGCCCCGAGGCTCGTTGATGCAGGGCCTTTGGCCAGCTGCAATATATTACTTACTTTCTTACAACAGCGAAGATTGTTGCGTGGCCATATCACAGTAAAATAATAATTGCCTACTTGAATGCTTCTCCTGACTAAACTCGGGATGGCTGAACCGATTTCGATGCGACTTCTAATGATGGATTATTTAAGGAGCAACTGAGACTACTTTTTATAGCGTCTATAGACGCTACTTTTCAGAGATCGCTTATTCACGAATTAATGTATTAGTTTTAGTTACTAGAATTAGTCTGTTTCTATACTTTCATGTGACTGAAATTTTTGCTTTCAGTCCGTAGACTATTAAAACTTCATCGTCATGTTTGTTTTCAAGTTTATAGGCTACTGGAACGATATTGTGATATAACAAACGGCAAGGTGACATACAAAAGAGCTTAATATTTTTCGACCAATAACTGCAATGTTCTGATTCTTTCAATATCTAAAGATGCGACAGAAATTATCATTTATAAATACAAAAAATATTTAAAAATCGATATGCGTATCTCTTACCACACAAAAAACCATTATCTACTATACAAGAATTTACACGTAACCTAATCCCATATATTTAACGTTTCTAGTTAGGAGGCAAATTCAGGTATAGGGACTACATTAAGCTACATGCTAGCTAAAGTAGTTATTTCAATGAGGAGTCCTTTATTCGTTCTCGATAACAGTACAGTGAGCTATGAAAAATTTATACGTTTGTGATATCGACCGAATGAGACTCGAGAAACTCCAGAATATCAGTTTCGCTAGACGTCGGTACGAAGACAGTTATTTATTTCATACAGTTCGCCGAAATAGAATTTCAGAAGCGAGGACTTGCTAATATAAAATTCCGAATATAACTTATATACCCATACATGAAGTGGCATACAAAATATTAACGTATGACGTAGTCATCTCCCATAATGCATTTGTGAATGATTAGAGTGGAACATCAATTTAATAGCGTTCAATTACCGAGAATTGTGTATAGCTTTTTAATCGACTTCCAAAGGAGGTTCTCAATTCGACTGTATTTTTTGTTTGTTTGTTTGTTACCTCATAACTTTTTACTGAGTGAACCGATTTTGATGATTCTTTTTTTATTAGAAAGCTGGTGCTTTCTATGTGTGATGTAATTTCATATGGTTGGTATTGGATTTTGGGCTGCGCAGATACTTAGGGAACTCCTGAAAATCAATTTCAAAATGAATACAGATCGAGATATTTGAAGTCGGTTTTGTTTTTCGTTAGTAAAAATTGGTTATTAAATAATAATTTCTTTAATACTGCAAAGATTTTTTTATTCGTCACTGGCCAGCGCTTGACTGCCGTCCCGCCTCATGGTAAGTGGCAATTGAGCCATTGTTGGTAAGCGCGCTAACTCAGTAAAAGCCTATTCACTATTGGCTTGAAGACGCCTACGTTATAATTGACGGAAAGACGGACATAGGCAGGTTCCTTAGTTGACTGATGTATATTTTATTAATAAGAATAATTAATAAAAGAAATAAAAGACAATAATTAATATAGATTTATCGATTACTTTAAAAATATCGACTATAATAAGCTGAACGTTATTGTTCAAAATTATCGTTGTTCGTTCCAAATTTAAAAAGAGGGACTCTTCTCATGTTATAGCGTCGCTGACAAATTTTCGAAGCAGGGGCCCGCAACGACCCCAATGTAAAACAACCCCAATTTCGCTAAATTACTTTGAACGCTCACGTCTGTGCCTATGATTTGCCGTTACATGGAACAACAGTAAATAATTGATGCCTCGCGTAAGCCTCGGTTTTGGAATGAGTCATGTGGGTACGGCGAGTTAATAGACGTTTGTTATGTTATTTACTACCCATAACATCTATTGATTTTCTATGATATCTATAAAGACAGAATTCCTAAACGCGATCCAGTTCAGATCACTGTTATAACTGGGTTGAGTATTGTTAGAAAGTAAAACGCCATCTAAAATATTTCTGATTATTAACATCAAAGGTTCAGTTCAAATCAACGTCATGCATAACAGTAATTATATGTTATAATTAGTTTTATCCACAAGTGACGGTTAAAAAAATCATATTTCTAGACCCTTAATGTGTAGGAACAGATGGATTCTATTAGACAGATGATTGTTGTTTTAATAAGAAAAAAAAAATATTCACACGTAGTTATTGAATTACATAATGAATGTATTTAACGAAGATCTTGTCCATCGATGAAATCTTATTTTTGGTTTAAATTACATTAGAGTGACGATAGTGACGGGAGGTGAGTGAGAGAAGAAATAACTATCAAGTCAAATAGTAAGCGTTACGTCATTACAAACTTTTGGTCAAATTGGAAAATATCTAGATTGATAATATGTATAGCAAAGGTACTGACTACGGGGCGCATCCTACTACCATTTTTTAAAATTAAGAGAAAGCCAAAAGGCATTTTCAGAGTAATAGAAAGTAATAGAATGAACAATACGATATAACATCGGGTGCGTTCGTGTTATGAGACAAAGTGGCAAACGAGGATGGCGTTCACCCGATGCGAAATGATTCCCGCCACAGATCAGCAACCACAACAACCGTGTCGTTGTAGGGCGGACCGGCTCATTCGTGCAACAGAACTGCGGCGTGGCTCAACCAAAATACATTTTTTTTTCTATTTAAATAAATATTTCGGACACATTTCTTACACAACATTCTCTAGTCCCAAACTAAGCAACGCTTGTACTATGGGTACTAGAAAACTGATAAACCTACTTAAACATACTTTTCTTTTGTAAATAAATACATATTATACATATATAAACACCCAGACACTGGAAAAACACGATGTTCATTCATCACAGAATATTTTTTCCAGTAGTAGGGATCGAACCCACACCCTCTGGCGCAAGAGGCAGGATCACTACTCCCCGCGCCAATTGGGTCGTCAAATATACATTAAAATATACATATACCGCGATAAGCCCACAGCGCCGCAGGACGATCGATTAAAAGTAGCAACGCAATTTTTCAGGGCGCATAGCCGCCCCGTCACACATCCGCGCGCACACAAACGGAACGATGTCCCCAACAAAATAAAGCACCGGCCGCTGTCATGTGGTATTGATTCAGGCCCTTCGCCGGCCGTCCCGCTCGCACCTCGCCCGATCCTGAATGCGGGAGCGGGACAGGTGTACTTTCTTCATGCCAAGCCGACCAAGATGTTGTATTTATTCGTGTGCAGATTAATACGGTAACGCCCTGCGGACTACTCTACCTACACCGTTTGTATTTATGTCTGTTACGTCACTGGAGGAATAAATAATCAAATGCGTTACTCTCTATCCCGATCCGAGCGTTCGTTTTCTTTGTTCGCGCAACGGTTTGTTTCTCTATATGGCATTTGTGTTGGGAATCAATTTTGTCCACTAGTCTCAAAGAAAACCATAAATGCATCATATAAGTTTCCTTAAAATAATACAATGTTAGATATATTATACATACACAACCAAACACATTTGAGCTATAATTAATTAAAATCATAATTATTTTACCAGGAACCACTTCCTAGTTAGCGAATCGAGCGGGTTCGAATACTAGTGGTGAAATTAGATCTCAATGGTGCATTAAACTATCAAGTTTAAACCTTAATAAGCTGGGCGTATGGTCGATATTTGTTGTTTTTAATTAAGTAGTGTCATAAAGTTTTAAGATG